TCGTTGATTGTGAGTTATCCACGATTTGGTTTTGCGCTTATTTTTTAATCGGTGATTCCATATGGTTTCATTGATTCTTGATTGGCTATATTGGTTTGAGGCTGTTTGCATTCCATTTTATAAATCGTATATCTCATTTGTGGGGGTTGAAGTTAGATTGAATTGATCCAGTTTTGGTGCTTCTTTCTAGTACTTTTTGGCCGACCGAAGTAAAGTTACTTGCGTAAGTTCAATAAGATCACTTTTGTTGCGGGATTTGCTTCACTTAATTTGGGAGTTTTCTTGGGTTTTGTGAAAAAAAAAGTGTGCGGCAAAGATTCGTAGAAACCGCTAGCTGCGTGAGTGTTTAAAGGTTTTAATTTTCAATTTCGTTGCTGGTTTTGGTTGGGGTGATTTCTTAATGTATTGAGATCGTGTCGCTCTAAGCCACTTGGTCAATCGGAAGAAAGGTTTCAACAACGGACTCGACTACAACGACAAATTGCTCATATGAGTGATGCCTTAGTGGTTCAATTTCGGCGTGATCTGAGGCAGCAACTTAAGCCCATACATGTGAAGTTGGATCAGTTAATTGTCGATGGTAAGTCATTGAGGAGCCCGAAGCAGTTTTCTTTTGAAAAGGAATCACTGGAACGATGCTTGGATTATAGCTTCTGCGAACAAGGTGACCGCATGAAGCCTGACTGCGGGAAAATGCTTCCTCCCCGTCACAAGCTTCGGGGCGGGGGAAATGTTGTTCAACCTGAGATTACTTGTGTTAATCCACCCCATGGGACGGTCCTTGGGGCTGGGTCTTTGATTGATGGCGTTCACACCGTCGTTGCTCAACAATGGTATGACAATCCAGGTGTATTGAAGCCAATGATGCTGCTTCCTTTGCCAATACAATTGCTTCTTCCAACGATCATTTCTTTGAAGCCGCGACAGTAGAAGTTGTCCCTGAGTATGTTGTTTCCTCTGAGGAACTGCAGTTCCGCAAACTGTATGTTGAAGAAGATCAGGAGTTCTTTCGATGTCCCAGAGAGATCTTTTTCCCTGCACTAGATCATGATCCATGGGAGAAGACAGATATTGATTGGAATCATCCCCTAGTCTTTGATGCTTACAAAGACTTTGTGACCGATTCACCACATTACTCGAATGAAAAGTAAAGGGGACAAACGCCTTGGTCCCATTTCTTTTTGTGATTTCTCTAGTACCGCGTCCGAGGGTAAAATTGGTCTATTTGGTTCAAGTATTTGTTCAGAATCACATGTGGTGATTGGTGATTTTATGGATTATGGAGTTGGAAGCAATATTCCAAGCCATGAGGTGCTAGACATCTGCCATTCACCTTCAGCGACAAATACGGCTCGTAATGTTGTGCCAGTAACACCCAGATGCAAGGATTTTTCAACTTATTTGATTGGATTTTCTCCATTTTTTTTTATCACAGATTACTTGCTGCACTTTGATGACCTTTCCACTAGGCAACGTAGCTCTACTTTTCTTTTCACTCTTGCAAATCCATAGCATCTAGAAGGGGTTAGTACCGCTTTGGAGTTTACATTGTCCCCACTAGGTCCCATTTGTTCCCTACTTTTGATGGGGTAACATGCCACTTCAAGCTTTGGAGGGCGTTAGTCACATTTCCGTTTGATCGGGGCATATCTCCACAAAAGTCGAGGAATAGAGTATTTCTTAGGCGGGGAGAGTGGTGTAGATGTAAGAATAGAGTATTTGGGTTTTTAATTTATTAGGGTACTTTAGTCATTTTTAATATTTAATTAGGATTTATTCTTTCTTTTCTATTTAAGGCGTTTAGTCGTTATTGTATAAACGGGTTGTTGAATATTGATAAAAATTGAGAGTGTTCTCTCTTCCAAAACTTGAATGTTTTGATGCCTACTTTCTGGTATTCATCTTGAATCAACAAATTGTTAGATGCCTTGGGATTCCGGTATTCTTAGACTAAAAGGATCTTGGGAAGGTTATACTTCCAGGTATTCTCAGACTAAACGGATCTACGACGGTTACTGTTCGTATTAGGATTACTTTTGGAAGCTTCCGCTACGTTCAATACCCCCAACGGCCAAGCCCATCTAGAATGTCACCGTTGACCTGTTTATGACATTTGCATAAGTGTTAGTATAAACCCTAGTCTTGTATTTATGGAAGGTTAGTTCCGTTATTTTACTTGTTAATTTCTGGTTAACTCTAGGGTTTCTTGTATTCGTATGTCAGGCCAAAACTATTAAACTTATTTGTGGTTCACACAATTTTCTGGTTAATTTCTGGTTCACACAATTTTAGCCCTAAAGAAAATATGAAAAATATCTCGACCGATTGTACATTGTTCTTCTTATTTGTGCTAAAATTTGAGTAATATGGAATTTGGAAACTGAAATCGGCTGTAGGTCGGATTCTATTGAAATCTTTGAATAATGAGTGCGGCTGCCGATTATCGGCCTAATACAAGGAGTTCTTGACGAACCCTAATTTTTAGAGAATAATTCAAAAAAGAAAATAAACTGAAATTTAAAATAAGCAATTTGATGCTGATTTGATTATTGTCCTTACTTCTACCACAAATCCCTTTAAATAGTCTTCACAATCCAAGTCGGTTCACAATCCTTGTTCAAAAACTAATTAGGCATTCCTCTTTCAACCGGACTCTACTGCCCTAAAGCCTTATTCACGGCCCACTGTTTTACTCTGAACTAGCCCATATCATTCTTTGACCCAGCCACAAAAAACTGACCCAACATAATACCCCCGAGAAAAGATGGGAATTTACTGAACAACTTTTCTAATTTTTCCGGGCAAATTTCAAATACACTATCCTTCCCTTACTAAAACACATCTCCCCGATAATGGGGGAGATAATGGCTGATGTCCCAATCCCAAAAAAAGTGGGATTTAAATGTCATCCAAATCCTCAACAAATTGGGAGAATATCAATTTGTTAATTCTTCAACCGAGGCATTATTAATACTCCACCTTGGGTACCGTCTAATCACACAGTCCCCCACTTTATCGACCTTTGAGCAATTCTCATTCTCTGTAAAACCCTCCATTCTCTTTTCCTCATCCGGCAACCTCATTTTCATCGACGGCTGCCGTCAGGGATTACTCCGTCGATCTGTCTAAGAAACGCCTTATTCGCAATGTTGACGCTCCATCTTTGGTACCCTTTTCCAGTTACCTTCTCTCCGGTGAACTCAGAAACCCGGACCTATCAATTGGGGCCTGATTTCGATAAAACACCGTCGGCGCTCTCCTGATATGCGCCCTTGTGCCAATCTCCTAGCCCTTCACATCAATTCACAATTCCCGGTAATTTCCAAAGTGCTCAAGACCACCAGAGTTGGCCTTGGTCTCATAAGATTAAAACCCATCTCGGCTTGGTTAATTGGTACAAATACTTTAAGCCGGAATTCGACCAGATCTGGCGCGATATGAACTAATCCAGTTTTGCAAAGTTGGAGTTCCCTTTGATCCAGCCGTTTTCAGCGCCGGTGCCAGATTTTGGTCCTTCACATCCAACGTGCTCTCTCTCCCTTGGGGTACGTTGACGCCGAGCCTTCTTGATGTCTGCTTGATTACTGGCTTGTCACCAGCGATTCCTTTCGCTGTTGATGTCAATCTGGGGCATTCGAAGGTGGCAGATCTAGCGGCCAATAGGGAAAATCAATTTGGGCGTCTAATGGGCTCAGTTCGGGATACTGATTCAGTTACCCTGCACAAAACCTTCCTTGCCTACTGGTTGAACAAGTATGTTTTATGTTCTAGATCTTTACAAATGACAATGAATTTCTACCATCTAGTTTGTATCCTTGCAACTGGTAAGAAGGTAGATCTAGTGTCAGTTCTGTTGGGTAATTTCAATAGGAGTATGTTTGAATTGAGGCACCATCCTGAACGGACTTTGGGCGGCCCTCTATGGCTATTGATTTTGTGGCTTGAAATGTATTTCCCTGTCATTAGATTTGGGTATACAGATGTTGCAGAGCCTGGTCAGCTCGTGCATAGGAACATTACTTCTCTAGAAGAGAACAAAATGTCTGTTGATGAGGTTGTGACTGCCCTACTGGAGGTTGTTAACATATTGTTTATTCCTTCGGGTTTAATATTTTTTTTTCTTTAAAATCGCCTTGATCATCATAAGCATGGTAACAAACCTTATTTATTAGATTAAATTCCTCGGAGAAATAGAAATATGGCAGCAAAGCCTCTACATAGAAATTTTTAAAAAAAAAACTTAAAAGACAAAAGAGGAAGTCAAAGGCGAAAATACTCCAGATTTTAGTTATGCAATCGGTCAATGAAATAATCGCATGTAACATATTCGCATTACAGGGGGGCTTATGATGGTTAAAAACATAGATTAGACAGTACGCAACGGGCCAGAAACTAGTTCAAGCAATATATATACAATTTACAGGACGAGTTCCTAGTAACATTAGGTTGCTTTTGCTGGAGGATTTGCCACAAGCACCTCGTCCTGTAAATTGCATGTTACAGCAATTGTCGGAAAGGGATTCTTATGTCGGTGAAAATGGAAGCAAGCGAACACAATGCACTGATGGGGACAAAAGCAAAATGAAAACCCCCCTTTGGATCTATACTATCAGGAGGAGGCCACCAATACTGCAATACTGCATGGCCTGCTACAAATCCAAGTTGACTTCAAGAAAACCCAAAACTCGGGTCTTTATGGTGCTGCAAGCTGTTACTTGAGATGACTTAGGATTTTGATGTGTTATAAAACTAAGTAGGAGGAGAATGATGTCTTCACTGGTAGTAAAATTTTAAGTGGATTTTGATTTTTAGAGAGGTTTAAATGATAATAGTACTCTCTCCGGTGCAAAACAATTCTCAAGTTTATGGATTATTTGTGAAACTGCAGTACAATAAACAAATATGACAATCATATTTTCTAATTGCCATACTGAGTATGAGATAATGATGAAGTATGCTTAAGATTCTTAATTATTGAAGAGAAAAGGACAAGTTTCTTGGGCTCATGATGTTGAAAATACACCAGAACATACACACAAACCTTAATTTACAAGCTAACAATTTCCCACGAACTAAGGGTTAGAAGCACGCACCTATATACCTCCTCATACATTATTTTAAAATATTTACAAATTTACACCACAAGTAGTGAAAGGAGGTCTTATGATGTGGGTATATTTATATCCATTATTCACACGTAATATAAAACTAAAAAATAAAGCACAACCGGAAGCCCAAGAAACACAGGACGGCCAGCATGCTGTGGCGCAGCGGACTGGAGCCGAATGCTCTGCTTGTTGACTTTCCGACCAGACCCATCAACGTCAATGTTAGCCCCTTCGACGAGAGCATACGTATGATGAAAACAACCACCGTCATCAGAACAAGATTCGTATGTCGCCCACGTGGATAGCCCTACTCGGAAAGTCACCGTTGACCCATTCGAGACGTTGGCATAAGCTGCCTCCCATGGGACGCCGTAAGTCTCCACAAACGCCTTCCGGCGAGCTTTTTTGCCAAAACCCTGGTAGAACTGGGGGCAACTGTAGTATCCAATGGGAGTCATGCTATTATTTAGACCGATGAAAAAGGTGACTTTAACATCATCGTAGCTCACCCCAATTAAGGGCTCCCTATTTTTGAGCCTGAGATCGAAGTAGAGAGAGTGGTTGGTTCGGGCAGAGGTTGAATTGTCGGTCACATTAAGGTAGGGGACATAGAAATCTTCGACTGAGCAAGCGGGCAGTCGATACCCGCGAACAGCTGACCACACGATTAAAGCTATAATACCTGCAAAGATGACGATGAAACTGCCGCAACAACAACCAAAACCGCGAGAACACGACATGTTTGACTACCCCCAAAAAAAACCCTCGTTAATACTCCGATCTGGATTGCATAAAAATCAAGAATTTGGAAATAGGGAGAAAGGGATAAATATATATTAGTATTAAATAGAGAGGACTCCTTAGCATCTCCTTAATTTATAGTGATGAAACTGGTATGCCGGCGTAAGGAAGACCTTGTTGATGATGATTTGTGAAAAGTGTAAGAACAATCGATGAGGCTTAATGTCCACGCCATCTGAAATTTCAAATATATTTCCTGGTAGACTCGAGGAATTAGCATATATTTATTTGGGTTTTATTTTTTTTAATAATTAAATTGCCTTGATCATCATAAGTATGTTAACAAACCATATTAGGTTGAATTCCTTGGAGAATAAGAAATATCGCAGCAAACTAAAGCGTGCAAGTATCTACATAAAAATAAAAGAAAAAAGAAGATGGCAAAGGATTTTAGTTACACAGTCGGTCAATGAACTGATCACATTACTTACAGGGGGCTTATGATGTGGGTGGAAATTTAAATTAGTAAAATGTTGGTTTAAAATAATAGAGTTTACAGGACGAGTCAGTTTTGATGTGCTTCTTCAATCTTTATCTCCCTCTTTATAAAATTAAGTTTGCAACTGAATATTTTCTACTATGACATGGTTTAAACTAATGATGTAGGATATTCTTGATTCTACTAGGTACACAAATAATAAAAATCCACTCTCCGTCCCGGAAAAATAGTCCAAATTTAATTTTTAAAATTGTAATAAAAATAATAATATAATCTCAAAAATCGACATGGAATATTTTTTGAGTATATACAACTCACCTAATTCATCTCATTATTGTATTTAACCTTACATGACATTTACTTATTGGGTAAAATTTAATAAGTGAATTTATTTTATTTTTTATCAAATGTACAGGCTTTTTGGATATATTTCTATCTAAATTTTAAAATAAATAGACCCTAACCCCAAAAGAAGTAATCCTTAAAGAAAAAATTACAATAGTGCAAGTAATTTATCAATTGGACCAATATTGATAAGAAATATAATATTTAAATTGAGTTATTTAGATTTAGTGTAGGAAGTGATGCACTAAGTACAAGAAATTTATTGTCCAATAAATGATTGACATGTAAGGTGAGATGTAAGAGTAAGATCAATTTGGTGAGATACATCATTTCTCATATTTTTTGTTATGATAGAGAGAGTAACATAATGAAAATGTATACAAGGACATTCTCATTTTATGATTTTCTTTACATTTTGTTATTTTTGGTCGCTGCTAATCACATTTTCTGTTTAAACACTAATTGTTTTCTATGGGTCTTAAACACTGTCATTTAAAAAAAAAAAAGAGAGAGAGAGAAAAAAAGTTGACATCAATTATTGATAAAGGGGGACATAGTAGTAGAAAAGATAATAAAGTCATTTTACCACTTTGGTTGTAAATATATTTTCCGTTCACTAAATTGTTTTGGCTTTTTCTTTCCCCTCAGAGTCTTTCATTCTTACAAATAAATGGTCTAGTTAGAACCGCACAGAAATATGAGAAAGATGTAAATCATTAGCAAACGAAATGGAAGACATGAAACGTTGGCCGCATCAAAAATCCAAAATGGCAATTACAAAAGCAGGAAATAAATCACAAGCAAAAGTCCGAGAAGAAAGGATGCCGGACGTGAGCCTAATGCCCTTGTGATTGACTTTCCGATCAGATTCATCCACGTCTACGTTGGCCCCCAAATCCAAAAGTTAAGTCCTACGTGAACAATAAGCACGATTGCAAACTTTGTCAACTACGCAGAATGTCTTACTATATTACAAGAACTATGCTGTCTATAAATATTCAATTCCTTGGAGACAAAGAGGTTACGACAAACTCAAAACCTTCAAACTCCATAAGAAATGAAGATGTATTCAAGGCAGATAAGTACTAGTACTAAATTTTTTTTTGTTAATGTGTCGTATTTCTTGTTTGCATTTTGCAATCCTATTTAATAAATACTCCCTCCTTATCTTGGTGAAATCAAGATGCACAAAGGCTTGGTACAATACATACTATCAGGAGGAGGCCACCAATACTGCCATTACCTACAACAAATCTAGGTTGACTTCAAGAAAACCCGAAACTTGAACATAGTATTAGCTCTATTTTTAAATAATCGTTCTGTTTGCATTTTATTTTTAGTATAATTTTAACTTAAAATGAAAATTTAAATTAGACAATCATTTAAGAACGAATGGAGTACTACAATCAATTCATTGATGTTTTATAGGTTGCCTTACGTGCAGAGCAGGCTCAACGCATGTCAAGGCCTCAAGCGAAATTTAAATTTGGGGTCTTTAAGTAGTCGGACATAGATAAATAAAATTTTTAATAAACTATTTTAAATTTTGGTACAAATAATTTAATGAGATATTTATATAAATATAGTTTTTTAATTATCTTTTCAACAATTATTATAAAATAATTCAAGAAAATAACTATAGTAAATAAAATTAAAAAAAATGAGGCCCTAAATAATATGAGTCCTAAAGCCCAAGTTTTAGGAACTTCCCCCTAAAGCCGGCTCTGCTTACATGTAGAATCAATTCCCTGGTTATAGTAAGTATTTATTACTTCGGACTTTTATGTTTTACTCGTGATATGATGAGTCAACTGTATTTGCAGGGGAGTTTTTTTTTTTTTTTTTGTATAGAAAAGGAGGCAAAAACTGAAAGTACTAGGTCGTTACAATCCTAGGGTATAATGCCCTAATATTGTTATGTTCTAACCATGGTTTAACCCTTGGTGGAAGGTATTTAAGCGAAAACAAACCACCCACAGTTGCAGCGAAGTTTTTAGCCTTCGCAATTGCATCTTGTCCCTTGGTTTGCAGTATGACAGGGCGATCAACCATGGAGAGTGAAATCGTAGTTAAAAATACAGTGACGTTGGTGTCTTTTATTTTTCGAAACATTTTAATTTAATCTCTTTTTTTTTAAAAAAAATAAAACTATATTATAGAGATGTAAAAAGACACTAGTAACTTTTTGAATCTTGTTATGAAAGTCCTTAGTATTCATAGTCATTGATATTAAGCTCGAAACTGGACTAGTATGAGAGCAATGATTTCAGACGCCAAACGTATAATATACCAAAAAAAAAAAGTATAATTAAACCTTTATTTAAAAAAGGTAGAGAGGTTAAATGATAATAGCACTCCCTCCGGCGCAAAAAAATCCTCCAATTTTATGGATTATTTGTGAACTTGTAGTACAGCACACAAACATGAGTACATGAGAATTATGTTGGGAGAGATAAAATATGAAAATGTGAGTTCAAGACTAGGCATGCACAGTTAAGATGCAATTATTCGAACAATTGCCAACTTTGCCGATGGTGTCACTAAAATCAACAAACCCTAGTACAGGAGAGAAAGCCAAAAGGGCCGGAGAGCAGGATGTGATTGGAGGTTGTTTCTCCTTGCTGTACTGCCAAAATCCAATTTTCACGTATTGAAAAGCAGAACAGAAAGCATAACCGGAAGTCCCATGAGGAGGAAAGGGTGGGGAGTACGCGCCGGTGGTGTGGCGGAGATGTACTTTACAACCCGTGAGGTGGTGATAAGCCGAATGCCATGTTTGTTGACTTTCCGACCGGATCCATCCACGCCCACGTCAGCCGCCTCGACCAATACAAATGCACGATCATAACAATTATCTTCAGTACAGTAGTTGTAGATTGCCCAAGTGGATAGTCCAACCCGAAAAGTCACCGTTGACCCGTTCAGCACAGTCGCATAAGCAGCCTCCCACGGCATTCCGTAAGTCTCCACCAAGGCTTTCCGGTGGGCTGTTTTGCCTTGGCCTTGTTTGAACTTCGGGAAGGTATAGTTTCCGATGGGTATTATTAGGCTACTATTTTGACGGTAGAAGAAGCTGATGTTTGTATCACTGTAGCGCACAGGATCGAAGAGGTTCCTGTTTTTGAGCCTAAGATCAAAGTAGAGACTGTGGTTGGTTGGAGCAGAAGAAGAAGTGGAATTGTTATCGGTTACATTAAGGTTTGGGACATAAAAGTCTTCTATGAAGAATCTGGGTTCATACTTGTAAGCGATAGAAGACCACACGATTAAAGTTATAAAACCTGATATGAAAGTGAAGATGCAAAAGCAACAGCTGCCCACGCAGCAACAATCTGTCCATCTCATGTTGGACGGACAAATTGGCCAGCCAGTGTTTCTATTCAGAGGACGCAGAAATGGTTTTGACTATAGATGGAAGTTAATAAGGAATCAATGAAACATATAACACTATTAATTCAATTGGGTTTGTCCTTCTTTTAAAGGGGGAGCTCACTAGTAGCTCATATACGCCTTTGTTGCTTCTGTTTGGAAATTACAGTTGATTTCTATCTGCAATTTCCTGGTTGACATTTAGGAAAGTCACCTCTAGCTATTTCTGACCTTGCTACATGACTTGTACTGCAAGTTTTTTTTCTTTTTTTTTGGTATTTTTAAGATGACTTTGGATTTGATGAGTATTTTGGTACTACGATTTTTTGCGTCCTTCCTTTTGATTTAAAGGGAAAACCAGTATCGTGCATACCATTAGCTTCTCTAACTAGCTAGCGGACCAATCTACATGACTTGTACAAGGTTCTTTTTTAGATCACTTTTGATTTGATATGATTTATTGCCTGACTAGCTGCTATTTATGCAGTGCTGATTAATCACGGATCAAGGGCATACTTTATATATTACTAGGTTCCGTTTAGTTGGATTGAATTATAATTAAATTAGAATTACAATACGATTGAATTGAAAATGAGATATTGAGATTGTAATTCAATCCTAATTCATGTTTGGAAAATCTTAAAAATTGACTAGAATTAAGGTTCTAATACCAATTCTTGCGTTTGGATGCATAAAAATTTAGATAATTTAGAATTGAAATTATCTACCTAATACAATTCAATTCATTTCGAAAATAGAAAAATAACTTAATTTTGTTATGTCAACGTAATTTATAGTATTATTATGCATGTATAAACCAAAAAAATATAAATTCATAATTTACATGTATATTAGAATTACTTTGTTGTTGTAACTAATCCAATTTTTACTTTTTCTAAATAATAATTTTTTGTTTAATCATCAATTTTATAATTTATAAGTACATACATGCTTATGGAAAAACTTCTTTTTATTACGTAAGAATTATTAATATGATCATTATTAAAATATTCACTCTACATATAAACAAGTGACAAATTCAATGTCCTTATTTCTCTCCCTTTTATTATTTTTTACATACAGATTTTAATTTTCAATTTTTTAATTTTTTTTCTTATTTTTTAGCAGAAACATTTAGGTTTAATATAAAATTCAGTTTATGCATATTAATCTTCATTTATTTACAGAATTATGGATTGAAATTAATTTATAAGATAATAATTTTAACTTTCCCCTCTTTTTTATTACTCCCTCTGTCCCAAAATTATTTTCCACTTTGAGTTTTCATTTTTAGTTCAAATTATACTAAATGTGAAATCTCAAATTGGACAATAATTTTGGGACAGAAGGAGTATATAATATCCAATCTTATATTTCAATGTATAATAAGTATATTTATTATAAGTTTTTACTTGGTAAGATAATTTCTTACCTTACTATGTTGATCATTTACTATGATATAAAATAATTTTACCTAAGTTAAAATAATTAATTAAACATTTATTGATATGTTTTAGCATGGATATATTTTAGAAGATATTGAATAAACATAAAAAAAAATTCAAATATAAGGTCTAGTCATTAATTGTAAGTTTTATGTTTTATTTTAATGATAAAAAAATAAAGTACTTCCTAGGCAAAAGAATAAAAATAACATAAAAGTCTTAAAAGTAGCCAAATAGAAATCTGGAAAAGATTTTTTTATTAAACAAAAAAAAAAAGAAAACCAAAATTGAAAAGGAGGTTTGCGCGTGGGTTAGGGAATCTGCCGAAATGCACTTCCCTTTGTAGGCGTGCAAGCACGCGCCCGAACTCCTTCTTCTCACCTTTAAAAATGACCCGTTATTTAATAATCCGTTTTTGACCCATAAATTAACCCACGAATGTTTATTAAAATTATAGAATCTGAATTGCAATTATTTCCTTCCAAAAAAGAATTGAAAATAAAGAATTGAACTTCATCTTAAATTATAAGGTCAATTTTTATCAGCCAAACACAAAAATTGAATTTGGAGGCCTCCAATTCCAATTCTTGGGTCCAGTTCAATCCAACCAAACAGAGCCTTAGACAATTGTCAATACAGAATTCACAACTACACTAGTACTACACTATAACTACTCCTCTGCAAGCCTTTATTAGACAATTGCCAAAGTGCATTTTCTTCGCAAGAATCAACACCTCTATAGAGTGAGGAGGAAACAAGGTTTTATCACAATGATCCCCAGACACTTTAAAGTACCATGGTGTGACTCGAACCTATAACCTTCAGGTTCAATGAGTTTGTCCTTATCCACTAGGACAAACCATGATTCACGTCCATTTTGTTCAATTAGTATGTTAACTAGTATAAACTTGATTTAAAACAACCCATTTCGTTTTAATATTTTTTCCCGATGTCCACCCTTAAATATGTTAAGTATAAAAACTAAAAAGCAGTTAAACAAAAGCTAAAGCCATATTCTCAACTCCATTGGAATGTTTCACAAGATTGAATTTTGTTACCAAAAATCTGATTGAGCATAGATTTGTTGTTTTGAAGAAGATGAAAAAGAAAGGGTAGAAGAAGGCGAAGCCTTAAATTCCTTGTTTTCGAGGAAGAGTGAAGCCGCCGCCCCCAAAAAAAGGTGATTACTGTACAAATTTAAGAACGGTCAATGACAAAAATTTAAACGAGGTTATTCCAAACAATGATAATCATCACATTTACTTGGATCATCAAATAATTTGTTTGAATCATTTGTTTTGTGTTGGCAATGTCTAGTGCATAAGGGTTCAGTTAAGTATTTGATCAACCTGATAGTGATGGGGTAAAACTGTGCTTAGAATATCACATTATTTTGTTAGTGTTGCTTATCCCAGGAGTGTTATTATTAGACTCTTTTGCCTCCTTCATTAGACCTTAAAAACAAACAACAATAACAAAAGTCAGTAAGTCCATAAGAAACTTGCAAACAATAATAACAAAAGTAAGCAAGTCCACAAATTCAATTCCTTGGAGACAAAGAAGTTACGATAAACTCAAAACTTGCAAACTCCATAAGAAATGAAGATGTATTCAAGGAAGAAAAGTATTAGTACTAAATTTTTAGGTGAATAGACATGTGCTCATAACGTACGTTCCTTCCTCACACTAAAATTAATTGGTGAGATCATTTTCATGTAAATTGTAGTGTGTCATGTATCTTATTTGCATTTTTGCAATCCTATTTATTAAAAATTCTCTCCATTTATTAACAAATTAATTTGTTTGATCATTTTTGCATTTTCTTAGTCAAGTGGCACCGAATGTTGGAATCGATTTGTTTGGTCTTCACAACCAAATAAATTTTTTGAAAAGAAGGCGAAATTTGTTTGGGATTCTTGGCGAACACGATGATGATTTGATTCTTCTTCTGCTATCACAACAATGCTTGAAACAATTGACAGCACGAGAGAGCCGAGAAGCAAAGATCAAGAATTAGGAAACTTGAATGATGAAGGTCGTCGACTTTACCGTTGACTTTCTCCTCCCGACGCCAAGATCGCGATATGACGTCGACTTTATCCCGGTTGCATCTATCCGATGCAGAAGCCGACAGAAAGAATTTTCTACTACCATTTCCAAAATATATTCGGCAAAACAAACTAATATGGGGAAACTATTGCACTGAAATAGAACTTGAAGATGATGAGGTAAGTACTTTGTGAGTATAAATAGTTGTTATGAGTTTCTTTAATGCGTGAAGAATGATGTCCCGGGTGCTTGTTTGCCGTTATTTAAGAGAGTTCCCGCAGCCACCACCATTAACGGTGGCTGATGGAGCTAATCTAGTCCCCTACCACCTTTAATCAGATTAAAACAAAAAGAGGGGGCTCTTTTGCTGCCACCCCCAGAGCTGCCTCCACCCTCTGCTGCTGCTGTCCACAGGTTCGCCTCAGCCGTGTCTCATGGAAGCTACCGCCGCTGCAACGTTGTCAGATCGACCGCGGCTCGCAGGCCCTCCTTCACAAATCCGGTCTCACAGATCCGGCGGGATCTCGCTTATAGACACTCCTTCACAGATCCGGCGACAATGATGTGCACCGGGACTGGATCTGGTTGGGCTTGGAACTGCTTGCATGCCGCCGCCCATGGATTGCTGTTGCTGTCGCTGGATCTGCTCTTTATCAGATCTGCTGGATTTCGGCCGCCAACGGTAATATCTCACTTTTTACTGACGGACCAAATTTGGTTGTTTTTTTATTGTTGTGTTTTAATTCAATTAAGTGGGATAGGCACCCTCAGTATAGATCTCAGATTGATTCTTTATTGAGCGAATTTAGTGCTCAACGGAACCGAGTCCGTTGGTCGAGTCCAAATTTGGTGTGTGTTGTTCATCGTTAATGACGATAAATTTGTGCCTAAATCTGCTGATAAGTGATATATTCGAGTTAAGAATTTTATTCTGTTCCGTGATATGTTCAACAATAAAATTATGCCATTATGCGATTAATAACCCTTTTGGCAGTTGTATTGGTCTAGTCACTGGTGCAGTGACTAGTACCGTAAGTACGTTATTAGGACGGTTTGAATACGTCATTTTGGACGGTTTGTTCTTGTATCAAATGGTGCTGGACCATTTCCAGTTATTTTAATGAAGTTTATTTTCCCCTCAAAAAAAAAAAAAGAAGAGTTCCCGGAATTGAGGGTCAAATCTAACTCGAAAATGATAATACATGTCAATCCGGCAAATGAACGGATTTGGACTACTTGAAATTGGTTTTTAATGGTTATTAGTTTAGTGAATAAATACCCATCCATATCCGTTAAATTTAATAGACTTAAATGAATGGGTATTATGTATCTACGGGTACCATGGATATCCATAAATACATACTCATGGATATCCATAAATACATTTAGTAGACGTTTTAACATAAATCCAAGTGTTACCAATTTAATAAATATGATCCAACTAAATAAAATGAAATAATAAATTAATTCTTGCACATCAATATGAATATAATGAGTCCAATAAGTTAGAAAATATATTTTATTTGAACAAAAATTCAAATTTGACCGCATATTGTGACCCAGGTATCGGATCAACCCGTTAAAACTTGATGTGAAACATAAGAATTTATTCTCCTATCTTAAAATTCATGTTTGTACTTTATTTAACAAAAAAAATCAAAATTCGGCCCATGTATTATGGTCCAGTTATTGGGTTGACCCAGCTCGACCCAGTTAAATATAGCTTAAAACGTGAAAACTTAAACTTCAATGACTTAGAAAATACAAGTATAAGTCTATTTGAACCAAAAAAAAAATAAAAATCGACCCACTTATCATAATCTGGTTACTAGGTCGACCCGTTAAAACTTGGTAGAAAATATAAAAATTATTAGTCTCCTAAGTTAAAATTCATGGTTATACTTTATTTTTTAAAATAATCAAAATACGATAACTGTACCGTGCTCCGGTTATTGGGTCAACCCAACACTATCTATGGATCGACCCAGTTTGAAATGGCTCGAAACGTGAAAATTGAACTTCAATGAGTTAGAAAATACAAGTGTAAAGGTTTATTTAAACAAAAAATAAAAATCGACCCGCGTATCGTGACCCGATTATTGGGTCGACCCAGCTCGATTCAGGAGTTGATCTAGTTCGATCGACCGGGTAAACCTCAGCAGAAAATATAAAAATTATTAGTCTCATAAGTTATGGATAATCTATAGACCGTGGTTCGGTTACTGGGTCGACCCAACACGACCCATGGATTGACTCAGTTTAATATGACTCGAAACGTGAAAATTAAACTAATGAGTTAGAAAATACAACGGTTTAGACCTCAAATTGTGACTTTTTTGATTTTGGGTCATAAATTTGGTGTTTTTGGTTATTGGTCCTTTTTCTTGCCCTTTTATTGGGCTTTTTTTATGGCCTTTTTCCTAAGTTTTTTTTTTTGGGCTCTTTTTTTTTTGTAAGGTTTTGATTTGGAAAGAAAAAAATAGTTAGAAAATAAAATGAGTTGTTTGGGATTTGAACACATGACCTTTAGTTAAAATGAATTAGTGAAACAAACATTACCACAATTACTACTTAGGATTTGTGATATAAGTTGTCATCCGTTACTAAATTTTTTTTCTTTTTTAAACAGAAAATTATATAAATATAAAAATAAAAATAGGGCAGCGTATATACTAAATCCTATATCAAATACAATTATAAGCTAAAGAGAAATTCATTTCTTATTTAATCTAGAGGAACGGCGGACCCGAACATTAGACTTAGCCTTACTTTTTTTCTTGCGATTGGGATGTGGTAAAGCTGATTCTTCACTATAGAAAGACTCTTGCTCCATTGCATATTCAATGTCGAACTCGTCATCATCAGAACAGTTAGGAACATGATTTGGTTCTCCTTCAGAACTGATGTACGTGCTCAATCATAAAGCTTGGATTAAATAGCTCGGTATTTTTTCCTACCTCCGTATAAACTTTGGATAAAAACTGATGGTGTTTCTTTTCTATGATTAGGCCTGAAAGTGGGAGTAAAGCTTAGAGAAGAGGGATTTGTGGGCTGGGGGAGAAATTAAATTCCACAGCAGCGGGATTTAATGTTTTGGTGGAGACTGAATTAGAGTTATTTTTAGATTAAAAAAAAAAAAAACTTCATTACCTGAGGGAGAAAATTGAGAGTTTGACTTCAACTCTTCTTCCTTTGATATTGAAATATCCTGATCGGATTTAGAGAAAGAATTGGAAGGCGTTGCCGGGTCAGAAGGAGATGGCTGCGCTGAAGACACAGAACTCACGGGACGTTGAAGACACAAAATCAGGGGCACCGTTGGTGGTTCCCGTTATATTTCCTTTGCCGGTGATGAATTTTTCCCTGGAGTAATTTGCAAGTAAACTAATATATCCGTTACTATAAATAAGTAAACTAATAATATTATTATTTAATATATATATGATCTGGTCCGGTTTGACATACGATTTTTTAGTGCCAAACCGCAATCCGGACCGTTATAAACACTTTTCAATTTTTAAATCCGCCGGTTAGAAAATTCAATTATAAACCGCTCGCCAATCTGAACCGATGACCAGTTTCGACAGTTCTACCGGTTTGATCCAAACCATGAACACCCCTACTAAACCAGTTGATCCACAACTGTCATGCCTCTTGGGGGAGCCCACTTCAAAAGCTAGCTTGTAAGAGAAAGAACCCAAGGACATATAAACCACGCACTAGTGTCATCCGACACTAATGTGGGATTCAAGTAACTATCATTACCTACTACCATGCTTCCGTTCCGACATCTAGACGACTGCACTCTAGACAGCTTCACTCCGGCACAGGTAGCCCTTTTCGTGGCGGCTTCACTCCGCGGGAAGCCCTTTCCTCCAGCGGCTCACACTCTGCGTGACTCCGGATAGCCCTTCTTCTAGGTAGCCCTTTCCACGGGTAAGCACGAAGGATGGGGACTAGCTCTGATACCACTTGTCATGCCTATTGGGGGGAGCCTACCTCAAAAACTAGCTTGTAAGGGGAAAGAACCCAAGGACATATAAATCACGCACCAGTGACATCCGACACCAATGTAGGATTCAAGTAACTATCACTACAACAACTCGCACCAACCCATCATGACCCAACCCGTATATGACCATTCCTTGAATGGATTGGGCTGGGTCATGGTCTACCTACTCACTAACTTGTATCGATGGCTTTATTTTTTTTTCCATCCCATTGAAAAATAAATAAATAATGATTGTATAGTTTGAAAATACAATAGACTACCCGGTGAGTAACCGTGAACTATCCATTCTTGTCCAAATAATTTTTTATCTAGATCTACCGAAGTCCAACATTTTAAATGGATGAAATTTTATGGACAAAAGTCCAATGAATTTGGATGGATAGTAAGCCCTTGAGTTTTCTTGACAGCTCTAAATACATGTACAGTTTATTCCTGAAATGTAATAATTTAGTTTTTGATATTTGATGCACTTCTTGGACTCGCTACCTAGCAAGTAAGTTTAATGTCAGAAGATAACTAAAGCAGTCTACATAAAAATTCGTCACTTTATCTTTAAAAAATAAAATAAAATTTCTTACACAAGTAAATACACACAAACCTTAATTTAGAAGTTAACAATTTCCCACGAATTAAGGGTTACAAGCACGCACCTATATACCTAAACTCCTCAATACATTATTTGAAAACATTTACACATACACCCACAAGTGAAAGCTGGTCTTAAGACGCGGGTGTAGCTGAAGCAGTTCCATTTATATTCAATTATTCACACGTATAAAACTAAAAAATAAAGCACAACCGGAAGCCCAAGAAACACTGGACGGCACGTATGCTGTGGCGCAGCCGCAGCGGACTGGAGCCGAATGCCCTGCTTGTCGACTTTCCGACCAGACCCATCAACGTCAATATCTGCCCCTTGGACCAGTGCATACGTATGATAAGAACAACCACCGTCATCGGAACAAGATTCGTATGTCGCCCGAGTGGACAGCCCAACTCGGAAAGTCACCGTTGACCCGTTCGAGACGTTGGCAGAAGCTGCCTCCCACGGCACTCCGTAAGTCTCCACCAGCGCCTTCCGGCGAGCTTTTTTGCCGTGACCCTGGTAGAACTTGGGAAAACTATAGTTTCCAATGGGAGTACTCAGGCTACTATTTTGACCATAAAAGAAGGTGACTTTAACATCATCATAGCTCACCCCCACTAAGGGCTCTCTGTTTTTGAGCCTGAGATCGAAGTAAAGAGTGTGATTGGTTCGGACAGAGGTGGAGTTATCGGTCACATTAAGGTACGGCACATAGAAATCTTCGACGGAGCAAGCGGGCAGTCTATACCCGCTAATAGCTGACCACACGATTAATGCAATAATACCTGCAACAAAGATGGTGAAACAGCAACAAAAAGAGACAGCGCAGCGAGAACATGACATGTCTGACTACCACAGAAAAAAAAAAAAACGTTGTTATCCGATGGCTGGATGGATTAGATGAAAATCAAGAATCCGAAAAAATGGTGGAGAGAAAAGGAGCGACGAATATAAATTGAGACAGGACTCCCTTTTAACTCCTCCGTTACTTAAAGCCGCGAAACTTGAAACTTGTATGCCCGCGGTCGGGAAGACTTTATTGATTGTTGTTAATGTCAACGCCCGCTGAAATTTCAAATAAGTTTACGGGAAGACTAGAGGAACTAACATATACATACAGTATTCCTTAGTCTTTCAAAAAATAAAATAAAATAAAAAACATCTACTCCTTTAAGTTTGATATTCTAATTGCGTTGATCATCACTTATTCAACCATAGATTAAATTCCTTGGAGAAAAAGAAAGTTTGAAGCAAACTAAAGCGTGTAAGCTACATTATAGAAAATTAGATTTTTTTCAAAAAAGAAAAAAGGAAAAAGAGAGAGAAAGAAAAAAGAATAAAGAACAAGATGTCCAAGGCGAAAATACTCCAAATCTTTTTAGTAATACAATCGGGTTAATTATTCTGTTTCTCCCTCTTAGAATTAGGTTCGCAACTGACAATATTTTCTTTTTGTCAAAGTATATAAGTATTTTGGGCTCCCATCTCAAAACTAATCGGCAATGAGTGGGGTGGCCTTTGGAATTTATATATTGAGTCACTTTGTCATGTCCTGGGTTAAGTTGTAAAAACAAAATAGTGAAGTGACTAGAAAGTAGTTTTAGAAACATGCTCAGATCCACTATATATACTCTGACTTATCCATTTTGTAAAAACATCGAATATTCAGATAATTGAAAACTCTTGACGGTTTTGCCATTGTCCCCTTTTCTTGTTTTTCCGACGTCGTTCTGGTAAAGGATTCTTGTCATTTTGTCACTGGATAATCTCCGGTCCTGACAATTGGTATTAGAGCTAACGATCCTCGGATTGTTAGCTCATATTAGATTCAATGGATTTCACTTTTGACGTTTCCGCTACTGCCAAGGTCGACCACTGGTATTCAATCGATGATGAGTTTTGCAGAATCACGACGTTGGAATCATCGGAGTACATTTTCGTTCTTCCTGATGACAACATCAGAGCTCCCAGAGATTATCACAATGAAAATGATGCGGATGAGTGGCTACGATACTACAACTATTTTTATTCCTGATTACAAGTTTCGAAGGAGGATAGGGTCCATTGGGTGTGGCAGTGGCTATTCAGAGTCTCTCAGGATTGGAATCAATCAATTAGGGTCAGAATTATCTGTTTTCTTGGAATGATTTTTGCGAGGGTTTTGTCCGACAATTTGGTGTTCAAGAAATGGAGGAATTGGTGACGGCTCCTTCTGAACATTGTTTCTTGGATGTGGAGGAGAATTCTGAGACATCATCGCCATTGGGAATTTTAGTTGAAGAGAAGCCAGAGATGACGATGTTTCGAGGAAAAACCCCTAGGAGTTGGCTTCTAAACTGTAAAAATTACTTCTCTGCTCGTGAGATCTTGGAAAGTTGGAGATTCTTCCTCGTCGAGTTTCATTTTGACAGTGCAGCAGTGAATTGGTACCGAGAGTATAAACTAGCTAAAGGATCACTCAATTGAGTGATTGGGATGAATTTAATGAAGCTTTCATTGAACGCTTCGATAATCAGGAATTCAATCATTGCCCTACTTCATCTTCGGACCAATCACCAGCCATTCTTTCAGATTTTACAGAACAAGGTAATAATTCGCTTCATAATCTTGATGCTTCATTGAATCCTGTTGAGAATAATGCTTCTATTGATGAATTTGATGATGAATGTAAATCTTGATGAAGATTTGGCTGCTTTAGAAAATTTAGTTGAGGAGTCCATTGATAATTTTAAGGTTTTTGATGTTGTTAATTGTGAAAAGGATGACTTTAGGGTGAAGATGTTTTGTGATGAATTTGTTCCTGTGAGTACTGTTGTCGATATATTGGTTGTTGGGGAAAATATGCATTCCAGTGCTGTAGTAGTTTCTTCTTCCAACCAGAAAAATGGTGATACATATGTTATTTTCAGAAATGGAATTCGATTAAACTCTTTTGTGTTTGATCCTGGTGAATTGAATGAGTTTTTTAGGGTTAAGTGTTCCTTTGATGCTGACACAAGTGGGCACTCTGTTGATAAGACTGAATTGGAGAAATGGTTATTTCTTATTGATCATGGTGGACTCAAAGGAATTTTGTGCAATGATGATTCTCCCATTGTTACTAATGAGTTTCTTAGAATTAAGCATTCACTTGTTGTTGACAAAGTTGGGCACTCAGTTGATAAAAAGAAACTAGAGAAGTGGGTTCCTATTTGATCCGGGAGAACTCCAATGTGAAGTGGCTGTGATTGATCAATTGTTTGGGGGTATTATTTTTCTGCACAACCTTGAGGACTAGGTTGCTTTCAAGGGAGACGGAAGAATGGAATTGTGGATCAGCAGGTCATTAGTTACCTGTAATGAATGTAGAGGTGCTATAATAGTGTTGGAAAGGACTAGTAAAAGGCATGTTTCTGGGGGTGCAGTAGTTACTTGTTTCAGAGGAAGTATTATTGTTGAAGAAATTGGCACAGTTTTTCAACATGTCGACTTACTATTTGTTGCAGCTTATTGGTTCAGCTTGGAAAATGCTAGGGTGGCTACTAAACTAGGGAAGGAAGCAACATTTGAAATTTTTTGGAAGTTGTTAAATGGTTTAGGTACTGAGCTTGCTGGGAGTGATTTGGATGCAGGGAATGTTGTTAGCACATTCCACCTGATAGTTATGATGTTACCTGATGAAGACCTAGATAGTTTGGTGCTTGGGAGTGAATTTGTGAGAGACTCAATTGTGCTAATCATGCCGAAGTTTTGTCCAGTAGTGTTATTCAGTTTTCTGTCTGTGGCATATCTTTGAGGACAAATACATTTTGAGTGGGAGGGGATCTATCCATATTCAGCAGTTGCAGAGAATGCAAGTAGTGGTGAACTTTATCAAAATTCAAATGGGACTGCCAGTTCAAGTAAGTCCATTTAACATTTCAACTATTTGGAATTCTGCAGCAAATGGAGAAGAGTCACTCGAGGGCTGTTTTCGAAAATGGTACCAAGTTGCCAAACTGTTAATATCATGTTGTTTTGGAGACCTTTTACTGAGGATGGATAACTCTAAAAGTACCAGATTTCTTATTAACGTCAAATCATCTATTACACTGGCGATGTCTTTGAAATCTTGGATTGTGGTGGCAATGTCCTTCAAAGGGGGGACTCATTTCTATGTTGGGGTAGCTGGTTCCTATGAAAGTGAGTTTAATGCCAACAAAAGCAAGGATCAATTCTACCTGGAAAGTTCCTATTAGCTCTGGCTGGGAACTAACTTGTTCACTGATGCAGGGTTAAGTTTTCTGATTTGATTTGTTTTTTCTTAGAAGTCTTATGGTCAAGACTTTGTTTAACGGGGAGGGAATATCATGTCCTGGGTTAAATTATAAAAATAAAATAGTGAAGTGACTAGAAAGTAGTTTTGGAAACATGGTCAGACTATATATACTCTGACTTCTCCATTTTGTAAAAGCATCGAATATTCAGATAATTGAAAACTCTTGACGGTTTTGTCATTTTCCCCTTTTCTTGTTTTTCTGACGTCGTTCCGGCAAAGGATTCTTGCCATTTTGTCACTGGATAATCTCCGGTCTTGACACACTTCTCTTCACGGTAGCGATATGGGACAAATAATACACCTTAATACCCTCTCTCAAGTCCAATGGGTCTTTGAACTTTTTGCCCAATGGACTTGGATCGGGACAAAAACAAAATAGCCCATGAGTCAACGCTCAAGTGGGAGAAAGCCAGTTATACCGCTGGATTGGTCTACAACAAACCCACGAGTCAACGCTCAAGTGGGAGAAAAACCAGTTATACCGCTGGATCGGTCCACAACAAGTCCACGAGTCAACGCTCAAGTGGGTTAATATAAAATCACCACGGGCCACCTCCAGCCCAGAACACCACCACAGGCCCACACCGCTCTGATACCATGTCAAAGAATATAAGTACTTTTGGTTCCCATCTCAAAACCAATTGGCAATGAGTGAGATGGCCTTTGGATTTTATATACTGAGTCACTTTTCTTCACGGTGACGATGTTTGACAGATAATACACCTTAACACCTTTATGGCTGGCTGCCGCGTAAACTACATAGTTCTCAACAAAGGAATGAGTTGTTGCAGTGCCGGAGATAGGAAAAAAATCTCATTGGAGGCACATTAACATTTTCAAGTATTGACATCATCGTTTTTTAAAAAATAAAAATAAAAAAATGCTAATGAAAATTATTCTCGTATTAAACAAATATTTGTCTCATACATCTTATTGATTTAATAATTTAATTGGAGAACAAAGTTTTGGAAACACATATCACTAAGTATGATTAAAAAAAAGTAATTTTTAAATTTCCAAATGATTTTTCTGCTTTAAAATTTTTTTCCTTTAAAAGAAGTCAACTTTTAATTAACATATGTAATCCCTTTTAAAAACATATCTTTTTTTTTTCACTACGGGGCCAATTATTGGTCTTTTTGAATTATTAAAGATGAAATATTAATATCTTTTAAAGCCAATTCATATTAATTCTCCCAGCCAAGTAATTCATCTAATTAATTATGATTTTTAAAAATTTAGAACAATAAAATTAATAAATACAAATAATATACTCTTAGGGTGGGTGGCAGGTGCCCCCAACCTAAATCCGCCCCTGAGTTGTTGGTGGAGACGGAAACCAGCTACATGTTTTTTTTTTTACGGAAACCAGCTACATGTGAATAAAAATAAATAAATAATCATTCTATATAATTTTTATTACAATAAAAATGAAATTTAATAGTTACCAAAAGAAAAAAAATTGAAAATTTTAATCTGAGATAGACAGAGTATAACCCAAAAAAATACAATGTTTATGTTTTTTATTTTTAGGTATATTACACACCCGGCGTCCGAAGTCATTGATCTGAATCTTACTAATGTTTATGTTTTTCAGAGTGATATTTAATTTAAACTGGTCATTGACGCAAATATATGGAAGCTATAATTTTTTTTACTTTAGCACTATTGGTACTCAGGAAATGTCTAAACTATTATAATCGAGGTAGATTTTATCAAGAAAAGGGCAGTATCACTACTAGAGGGAGATCGACTCCAAAAACTGTGTTCTGAAATAATTAACTAAAGATTTTGTTTATAACTTCGAATCTTGAATACGTAATATATAGGGCAAATTACATTTCACCCTCGAGTTTTGGTCTAATTTATCATAAACCCTCTGAGTTTTAATAATACTACCCTTATTGGACAGTGAGTCAGTCAGGAAGTAGAAGTTACACCCTTAACTCCAACAAAACTAGTAAAAACACAACGCACTACAGAAATTATACCATCTTTAAGTTACGTGCACCTATAGCTAGTTTGGCCTCAAATTTGCATTAAGAACCTCAGAACATATGGAAGAAAAAGCCAAAAGTGATGAGATTTTGGGTGCTGACTTTGCTTAACCAAAATTTGGTCTTACATCTTGAAATCAGAACATAAAGCATAACTGCCTAACTGGAAGTCCCAGAAGAAAGATTGTCAGGTGCAGTCAAACTGCCAGAAAGTCGTCGACTACATCGTTGGAAGGAGGACATGTCCCATAGCCATTTCTCCTCTAGTGTCTGAAATTAGAATCTTATTAGGGTGTTTTAGTGATTGTAGTATTATTAAAGTCCCTAGAGACATAGTAAAGGGCCTGCATAGGTTAGCAAGAGCGTGCCTTCACCCAAGCTCTTTTTGTGTAATTTCACTACCGTAATGAAGTTACTATTATTCAAAAAAAAAAAAAAAGTCCCAGGATATGATGGCACTTCAAGAGAGAAAGTGGCCAATGGATTATGGACTGAAAATACTGCACATTTCAGTCATAAAATCGGTCAATGGACTGATCATATTAGAGGGTCTTATGATGTGGATGGAAAATATTGATCGTTATTTATAAAATTGAGACAATAACTGGCCGCAACGAGTCCGTATCCAGTACACCCGGGTATACCATATACTCCCACCAAACACACGCACTACACGCGCTCAACATTTTTTACCTTTACATTAAATTCACAAATAAAATTGGTTATCCAGAAGTTTACAACATTTATCCACAAATTGTAAACTGGTTATCCAGAAGGTGTAAACTGGTTATCCACAAGCCGTAAACTAATTATCCAGAAGGCGTAAATTGGTTATCCACAAGTTATAAACTGGTTATCCAGAAGGTGTAAACTGGTTATCCAGAAGGTGTAAACTAGTTATCCACAAGTTGTAAACTGGTTATCCACAAGGCGTAAACTGGTTATCTAGAAAGCGTAAACTGGTTATTCACAAGTTGTAAACTGGTTATTCAGAAGGTGTAAACTGGTTATATAGAGGTAAAGAAGCAAACAACATGTTAATTGGAGGGCTTCGCCCCCCATGATAAACTAAACGACTCCCGCGGCTACCGGAATCGCAGGTCACCAACCTGCCCCGGCTGCGCCGCCCCCCCGAACACGCCAATATAGCTAAGGTAATCATTTTTTCGTGTGTGTGTAAGGAGAGTGTGTTATTGCGTTAAGAGGGGACACAAATTACTTGTATAAATCCCCTCGTGATAAACTAAACAATCCGGCTGCGCCGCCTTTCGCGGTTGTGCCGCCCCCATGCCGAACATGGAAAATTTCATAAATAGTATTTAATTGAATGAGGGGAAGTTTGCCAAATGATGGAGAACAAAAAATGAATGAGGGGCAACTGGATAACCAGTGTAAAAAATACGAACAAGGATATCCAAGAAAAATATAAAAGGAAAAAAATAAAATTTGGCAACTGGTTATCCAGCTGTGTGTAACTGGTTATCCATAATGTGCACACTGGTTATCCACTATGTCCATACTGGTTATCCAACAGGTTAATAATGGTTATCCAGCTGTGTGTAACTGGTTATTCATAGTGCCAACACTGGTTATCCACACGCGTTTAAAAAAAAAAAAAGAAAAAAGAAGGATGAATTATCTAGCGAATTCACACTATTCTAAGAGAGTAAATTACACACGCAGGGGGTACACAGTGCCCCTGGGTGTACCAGATAATTTGCCGGCCGCAACACTTCACATTTTATAGGAGGAGTTGATTAATTATCAGTTTAAACACAATGATTCGTGTTAGCGAAAATGACATTTTTAACACATAATATTGTTTGTACAGGAAGGTTTCAGTCAGTTTCTGATTGCTTAATTTGGTTGCATTTGTTAGAGATTATCTTGATTTCACGAAATTTAAATGGCAAAGCAAGAATTATTTCGTAAAACACGTGTTTATTTGGTTGTAGAAAAAACACAAAGAAATATGGTAAATGACAAGCAATTGGATCTATATATTTCACTATAAATGAAACATGGTGCTAAACATTTATCGAGAAAGTCAGAAACGGCACCATTTTTGTGCTACAGAAGTATAAACAAGTGTTTTCGGGTTTTTTTTTCCCGATACGATTTACTAGCAGCCATCAAACCGCCCTCATGATACGTACGGAAAGCGCTAGATCTTGTTCACTTGTTGATTGGTGAAACGTGGAGGCCACTAATGTCAACGGGCTGATGAGGAAAAATAATTAATTCATCCCCTAGAAATTTTGAGTTTTTGATTTTATAATGCCTTATTCATGATATTTAAGCATGCTAAATCCCAAGTGATCGATTTAATTTCTAGAGAAAAAGGTATTAAAACTACGTTCCGATCACAGCACATGCATGAGCTTAATTAGGACAGGGATGAATTAATTTAGTGAGTCCATATTGCAGATACAAGACTATCGTTCACTGATACCTTTTCAATGATTTTTTATATGGAGGCTACTGGACTTTGCTGATAACTTATATTTAATTTGTTTGCAAATAATTATGACTCATATATGTATTCCCTTCATTCCAAAATAAGTATCATTCTAGAGTTTGCACATAGTTTAATAAAATATTAAATAAGGTAATTAAATTATAAGAATATCTTCAACTAACCCCATTAAAATAAATGTTCTCCAATAATATTATTTCTTTTGAGGATATGGAAATTTTTGACAAAAAATGCATTAGAAACCGAAAACGACAATTATTTTGGAATTTCTCTATTTTGCCAAAATGACACTTATTTTGGAATGAAAGAAGTATTATATATAACAGCAATTACAGGTCTTCATTTCACCCAAAAAAAAAATGTACTCCAAGGATAAGCTAACCAACAAAAAGAATTAAATGCCGGTAGTTATAAGTGTATCAAAAAGTACTTTACAAGAAAAATGAAACTCGTAAATTATGCACTCTACCACAAACAAGAAGCTAACCAACAAAAAGAAGAAAAGAATTACATTAAACTAGTTCTGATTACACAAGTAACGAGCACATCTATCTAACATCATCATCGCCTAGATTCAGACCAGCAGAACTAAAAAATTTAGCAGCATAACTGAAAGTCCAAGAAAGCCTCCAGGACGACGAGTATGACCTGCTGCGGCGGACTTGAGCCTAATGCCCTTCTTGTTGACTCTCTGGCCAGATCCATCCACAGATACCTTAGCCTCTTCCACCAAATCATAGGTATGGTACGAGCAACCACTGTCGTAACAAGATCTGTATGTCACCCGGGTGGCTAGTTCTACCCAGAAAGTCACCGTTGACCCGTTTGACACGTTGGCATAAGCCGCCTCCCACGGCACTCCGTCAGTCTCCACCAACGCTTTCCGGAGAGCTCTTTTGTGATAACCCTGGTGGAATCTCGGGAAAGTATAGTTTCCAACGGGAATCATAGTTTCACCGTAAAAGAAGGTGACATTAATTTCGTCGTAGCGCGCAACTTGAAGGAGCTCCCTATTTTGGAGCCTGAGAACCAAGTAAAGAGTGTGGTTGGTTCGGCCGGAGGTGGAATTATTGGTCGCGTTTAGGCACGGCACATAAAAGTCTTCGACGGAACACGCCGGCAGTCTATATCCACGAACAGCTGACCACACGATCAAAGCTATAATACCTGAAAACAAAATGATGTTACTGATCCAAATACACCGGTAACAACATACCGTGTTGGACATTTATTAAATGGAAAAAAAAAAATGGTTCTTCCAATTAATGGAGAAAGAGATGAGAATCCCAAGTACTAGCTAGAGAATCAAGAATTAGAAACGGTGGAGAGAAGGTGATGAACATAATTCAGATTTCAGACAAGACTGTAACGATGGAACAAATTAAGCTCCTCCTTAATTTGCTAGATCCACAAATGTCAACGCCAGCTGAAATTTTGAAGATAATTTAATGTCCTAGTTGACCTGAAGGAGAATATATAATTAAGTTGTGGATTTGGTTTTGCCTTACTGGTGGTGGTGGTGATAAGTAGCTAAGCATATAATTAATCGCATGCACATTTAATAACATGGAGACAGAGAACATAAGTTTGCAGCGAACGAAAAGCATGCTGACTACTCACATGACGGGGGGGCTTATGATCGATACGGATGGAAATTAAGTACAAAGTACAAACATGTACGGTTTGCAACTGTCTAACTGGCCAGAATATTTTATTTTATTTTTTGAAGTTGACTGACCAGAAATTCGAACATGATGTAACAACGAATCTTACCCAGAAAGCTGTAATGGTGAAGAAGCAAATTGAGTTTGTGATTGGTTTTTTTTTTCCTTTCCTTTTTATTAATGGGCATTTGATCTCTATAACTTTTCAAATTCAGTTTTCGCTATGTTTTCAATTGACTCGTTTTCTTCCTAAAAAGGGGCAAAAAGACCTAATTTTTTCAAATCCTCCTTTTTTGGTGCCTAATTAGTCAAGTGAAAACAAATCAGGCGATCCCCTGTTCCTGCCAACACTACAGCGATTTTTAATTTTTTATTATTAGCCTAAATAAGATGCAAAGGAAAATGCCTTGATGAGAAAATTAGCTCCGCTTGGCAACATCCTTCTAAAGCACACAACTTGTATTTGATGCTTCATTTGCATCTATATATTATTGTATATTCCCTTTGTCCATATCATAAGATATTTTGATTTCAACTTGGTTTTATATATCATGTATTTCTAATTGAAAATAAAACTTTAAAAATGCATTTTCACATTTATTTTATTCTCTCAATTATTATATCTTATTTTCAATTAGAAAAAATACGGTAAATGAAACTTAAGATAAATCAAAATATCTAATAATAAGTACCGTAAGGAGTATCTATGAATAAAATATAGCAATTTCAATGAATGAATAGACACAGAAAATATGTTCAGCACTCGATCCCCCACCCTTCTCTTCTTATTAATTAGTTCATTTTATGATAAAGATGTAATTCTGAAATAATGAAAATTTTGGACCAAGAGAAGAAAGAAGGTCATGGTATCTGGGCTGCTGAAACAATCAAATCTACTACGGGTACAAACCCAAAAAATAAAGTATAACCGGAAGCCCCAGAAACACATGATGGCGAATATGATCTGGAGCAGCGGATTTCAGCCTAATACGCTGCTTGTTGACTTTCCGACCAGATCCGTCGACGTCGACATTTGCCCCTTCGATCAAATCATATGTATGGTAAGAACAACCATGCTCATCACAAGCTTTGTATGTCACCCGAGTGGCAAGTCCAACCCGGAAAGTCACCGTTGACCGGTTTGACACGTTGGCACGAGCAGCCTCCCACGGCACCCCGTAAGTCTCCACTAATGCTTTCCGGCGAGCTTCCTTGCGGTAACCCTGGTAGAACCTGGGGACTTTATAGTCGCCGATGGGATTCAGGCTACTATTTTGACCATAAAAGAAAGTCATTTTGATATCGTCGTAGCGAACCCCGTGAAAAGGCTCTCGGTTTTTGAGCCTTATATCGAAGTAAAGAGTGTGGTTGCTTCGGGCGGAGGTAGAATTATCGGTCACATTAAGGCACGGCACATAAAAGACTTCGACGGAGCATGCCGGAAGCCGATACCCGCGAAGAGCAGACCACACTATCAAAGCTGTAATACCTGAAAAGATGATGCTGAGACCGATGCAATAATACCGAGAAGACATGTTAGCCCTAACAAATCAATGAACACAGTGGAGGAAACTGGCTGGCCGGTATATGTGTGTGTGTGTTTGTTTGTGTGTGTGTGGAGAAAGTGATAAATAGAATTCAGGCAGGACTTCAAAGGGCCGGGAAAGAAAAGAACTACTAGTTGACTAGGCTTCCACACTACACACCTTAGCTCCTCAACTCTTACAGATGGACTGGTCTGGGCGTAAAGTACGGAAGACTTGGCTTATCAATTTGATTGATTGATTGGTAAAATTATAATTATAAGAATGAGGATTTCAGTACTAAGGTAAACACCAGGCCAGAATTTCATATTAACTTCCAGGTTGACTTGAGGAAAGAACATGCTGCGCCTTACTAGCTATCACGATAATTAAGCATGATAACGCCCATAGTATACATACATACATATATATATATATAAAGACCATAGAATATTAAATTTCTTGGAGAGAAATAACGTTTGCAGATCAAACTAAAGCGTGTTCTTTTCTTGTTTTACTAACCTAAAGCGTGTTAGTGAATCTGCACGAAAAAAAAAAAATGAAGTTGACAAAAAGGAAAATACTCTCCTTCCTGTTAAATATGTACGATGGATAAGTGGATTGATCAATTTGAAAGGACGTATCACGATATATATGTGGATACAAATTTATCATTGATTTATATGAAATAAACTAAGACAGTAACTGTCTGACCACGAAATTTGAAGGTATACCTATTAGGCTATTACGTACAGTTGCATAGAGTTCCGATGATTTCTATTTTTTTGTTTTCTTTTTTTTTTTGGCCAAAGCTATTTTATTTCTTATTGGATGGAGTTCGGGTGATATCTACTTCTTTACACCCTCTTATATAAATATAAAGTTAAAGTTCGTGATTGAAATGTTTCGCTTTTGCCCAGAAACATAGCCGGTTCGCCCCGTAAAATAGATGACGCGTACCTAATTAGCTAGTGGCTTAACCACAATAATTCGTGTTAGTGAAAATCACATTTTAACAGGTATCAGAAGGAGGTGTATTAAAGATGGAATATCCAAATTCACAATGTCAAAGAAGTTGGGGGATAAACTGAGAAATGTAATAACAACAAGATAACGGCGTACGTGACTGGTAAATAATGATTAGTTCAATAAGTAGACTATTTGGTACTGGTAGTACTCATAAGACTAACAAAGAGTAAATGGTACAAAGCACTTCTGTACAGTGACGGAACGAAAATTTTCAAATCGCGGGGTCGAAAATAGGATTATTCAACCGTCACCGGAGGGTCGAACTGAAAAAATTTCAAATAACGGACACCCTACTAAGAAAAAATTTAGCCAAATCCGGCCAACCGGGGGGTCGATCGACCACCCTAACCCCCCCTAAATCCGTCACTGCTTCTGTATGATCAACTTTCTTCTAATTAATCTAATTAAGAACCTTAGACCAAATCGAAGAAAAACACAAAATGGAGGCTTGTCTTGATGAACCTATCAAAATTTACATTTTCAAAACCTGAAAAGATAGGAGTATATAACCAGAAGAAGCCCCGGAAGCATATGGCGGTGGCAAATAGGTTCTAGTGCAGCTGACTACTTAAAAGCGCCTTTCTTATTAGAAATAAAAATCTAAACTGGAATTATTTTGGGAAAGAGGAACTATAACAAAAGGGAAGGGATGAGATTGGGGTTATTTCCTTGCTTGGCTAAAAAAAAAAAAAAATCCAATTTTCACACACTGAAAGCCAGAAAATAAAGCAAAACCGGAAGTCCCATGTGGAGGACGGGAAGGCGAACATGTTCCGGTGCGGCGGAGCCATGCCTAACAACCCGTGTGTCGGAATTGAGCCGAATGCCATGTTTGTTGACTTTTCGACCCGATCCATCCACACCCACATCAGCCGCCGCGGCCAACACAAATGTACGATAGTCACAATCACCTTCAGAACAGTATTTGTAGGTTGCCCAAGTGGCCAGTCCAACCCGAAAAGTCACGGTTGACTCGTTAGACACATTGGCGTAAGCAGCCTCCCAAGGCTCTCCGGTGGGCTGTTTTGCCTTTGCCTTGTTTGAACCTCGGGAAAGTATAGTTTCCGATGGGAATTAGGGTACTAGTACTATTTTGACCGTAAAAGAAGGTGAGGTTTGTATCACTGTAGCGCACAGGCTTGAAGAGATTCCTGTTTTTTAGCCTAATATCAAAGTAGAGAGTGTGGTTGGTCGGAACCGAAGTACTGGAATCGTCGGAAACATTTAGGTAAGGAACATAAAAGTCGTCGATGGAACATCTGGGTTCATACTTACCCAGAATAGATGACCACACGGCTATATCTATATATATACCGACACGAAAACGAGGTGATGGATATGGACTCGTCAAACACCGGTAAACTTTTTCCATGTTGAGCGAATTAGAAGAAGTGGCCGTTTGATAATCGGAGGAGCAAGAAATGACTAACTATAAGGATGGTCTTTGGAGGAAGATATTCAAACAGGGCATAAAAGAAATGATGGAACTATTGAATTGATTGCGGGCGTCCTTCTTATTTTTAAAGGGAAATTAAACTGATTATAGCGTATTACCTTATTGATTCTGTTGGAAATTACAGGTGATTGGCACCTGCAATTTCGTGGTTGACACATTCAGGAAAGTCAAGTCTAGCTATATATATATATACTTCATGACTTGTACTACAAGCCTACAAGTTTCTTATAGATGACTTTGGATTTGATAATTTATTGCCCAACTGACTCACTACTATACTAATTAACCATGCACGGGTTGATTTCTTGCAGGAAGTTAAACGTCGCAATGCCACAAACTAACTAAAGCTTGCAATCCAGCAATGAATCATAAGTATCCATTTAGAGCACACATACGGTACTCTCTGTAATTTGTCAAATTGACTTTTGAAATTTGACAAATCTCAAAACTTAAAATTCAAATTTAGATTATTTACAAATCTCTAAACTCAATATGAATTATGTTTTTGGATAGAGGAAATACTTCATCCGGTACTTATCATTTAATTTATCATAAATTTCATTTAGTATGTTCTTCCAACTCAACATTGAAAATTAAATTGTGTCTATATCAAATTTTTTATTGGTTTATGTTGAGTTTTATGTACAATAATTAAATAAAGGTACTTTTGTATTTTAACTACATTATATTAATTAATATTTTCATGATTTTGAAGAAATCTCAACATTAATTAAAATATATTTCTCTTTTTTTTTATAAACAGGGAGAATATATTAGACTACAACATTATACAACGACACGGCGGGAGTATGCAACCACGATAGCATCATGGTATAACCACCAACGGACTCCTGGTGGCGGCGAATCCAGTCGAGTTAAGCCTCCTGGATTCGATGCCGCCAATGTAGCTAGATAGTCCGCAACAAAATTACATTCCCTATGGGCATGATTAATACTAACTACCCAGTTTCTAGCTAAAAGCATCCTAATTGCCTTTAAGAGCCCTTCATGCGCGCACGCAGGCCTCCCGGAATCAAAAACCATGTGAAGGATTCCCTGATTGTCCACCTCTGCTTCTATGTTTCTGTAGCCCATCTTCCATGCTAGATTGAGCCCCTGAAAGAGACCCCAGAGTTCAGCTCCAGTAATTGAACAGTAGCCTATATTCATGACAAACCCTCCCTTCCAATTCCCATCATTGTCCCTTGTAATGCCACCAGCCGTAGCCAATCCAGTTTCCTTATTAACCGTCCCGTCGGAGTTGATTTTTACACGTTCTGGAGATGGTGGTTTCCAGGCCAACATCCGATTCTTCCCATCATATTTGCATACTTCAGAGATTCATTAATCTCCTTCACTTTATTGTTGATTTCAATCATCCTTCTATATAGAGTAACAATTTCATTTATGAACACCAATGCATTCCTCCAACTCCATATCTTCCACGCCACCACCCCAAAATGCAGTGGCCAGTGCTCCTTCATATTCGGCCCGTACTTAAGGTTTCCAATCAGGCAAGCAGTTAAGTCTGTGGCAAAGAAATTCATGAGCAAACTAGGGTCAACCACTCTCATCCATACCTCCTTTGCACATGGGCAGTCCCTAATCACGTGAATTGCCTGCTCCTCTGATTCCCCACAAGCCGGGAATCGGATGTCGTTTGTAAGGTGGCGCCTTCCTCTCTCTACATTAGTTAACAACCTCTCCTTCGCAAGCAACCAGAGGAATGTTTTGATTCTCTGGGGCCCTTCCCATCCCCAAACACATCTCCAGATGGCTGCTCTACTCCCCGGATCTTCATAGGTTAAAGCCTTGTACGCTGATCGGACAGAGAACTCGCCGGTAGAATCATGTGCCCAAAACAAGTCCACAACCTACCATCAGAGGAGAACCGATCCAATGTCCACTGGAGTTCCTCCTGGGGAACTTCTGAGAGAGCGATTGAACATAAAACAGGTAGACCCACGACCCATCTATCAACCCAGAACCGGGTCCTTTTCCCATTACATACAACCCATCTGGCTCCGTTTACAACATGGGCCCAATTGCTCCTTATGCCCCTGAAACATGGAGAAACATTGCGTCTGGTTGGCAAGTCAGGCCCATCAGAAAGGTTGACCCCATATTTAGCTACAGCTACCCTGGCCCAATAAAAACTCCCTCCCCTAAATAATTCCCAGCCCAAATTCATTGAAAAAGCCCTGTTCATCTCTTTTTGTTTTTTGAAGCTCATTCCCCCTTTCTGTTTCTCCTTGCACACGTGATCCCAAGGAACCAAACTCGCCCTCCTTATTTCTCCACTCTCACCTCACAACAGTCTTCGGCTGATTTTTTTCTAGGTTTTCACAAATCCCAACCGGAAGCGGAGTAGTCTGCATAGCATAATATGGAAGCGATGAGATCACCGATTATGCCAGTGTAGCCCTACCGGCCAAGGACAGAGGAGCTGCCATGCAAGAACTCATCTTAGTCTTGGCATTTTCCACTATCGGTGCATATGTTCTCCTAGTAATCTGCCATGCCCAAGTATTTCCCCAAATCCTAAACCACTGCATATCCCAACTCCCTGGACAGTGATCTTCGTCGTTCAAAGTGGACGTTTTTGGAAAAATGGACTCTAGTTTTGAGAGTGCTGATTTTCAGCCCTGAGGAGTCACAGAATTGTTGCAATAAGTTTCTCACTATCTCCACTTGTGCAGTTGTGGCTTCCAAAAATAAGAAAATACCGCCCGCAAAAAGTAAGTACGGCACCTTGACCCTGCCTTTCCCAAAGCAAATCGGTTTCCAGTCACCTCGTTCCACCTTGGTGTTAATTGCATGGGCAAGTCTTTCAATGCACAGGACGAAAATATAAGAGGAGATTGGGTCCCCTTGTCGTATGCCCCTTGTAGCCGTGAAACTCTTCGACGGAGTCCCCTCCCACAGCACCTGCATCTTAGGAGACAGAACACAAGACATTATTGCTGTAATAAGGCTCGCTGGAAATCTTGCTTGTACTAATGTTTCTTGGATGAAATCCCATCTAAGCATGTCATATGCTTTTTCAAGATCGATTTTAATTGCTGTGAATCCCCTTTTTCCTTTCGCTTTCTTCATTGAGTGGATTACCTCTTGAGCCACAATTAATGATATTGCTGGTGATATGCCTTCCGGGAGCACATGAAATGTTGAGTTGCCGAAACATTCAAATTGTACAATTACAATGTATTTACAGACCAAAAGAAAAATAAATAAATAATAAAAATTGTACAATTTCAAAACCAGAAAACATAGCATAACTGGAAGACCAACAATGACAGGATGCCGAATGAGTCATTGTGCGGCGGCGCACTTGAGCCTAATCCCCTCCTCGTTGACTTTCCGGCCAGATCCATCCACCTTCACATTAGCGCCCACGGTAGTATCAAGTACACAGTACAAACAATCCTGCACACAATATTTATACGCCACCGAAGTGGCCACTCCAACTCGGAAAGTCGTCTTGACCCGTTTGACACACTCGCATAAGCAGCTTCCCACGGCACTCCGTGTGTCTCCACCACCGCTTTCCGACGAGCTTTTCTGCCAAAAACTCCCAGGTGGAATCCGTACACCGTTTAGTTTGCTACAGGAAGGCTATCATTTTGGCCATAAAAGAAAGTGATATTAATATTATCATAGAGGGAAATTTGAGGTTTCTCATTTTTGATACTGAGATCGAAGTAAAGAGTGCGGTTGGTTCCGACCGAGGTGGAATTTTCGGTCAAGTTAAGGTAAGGGACATAAAATTCTTCTATAGAAAAAGTGGGATCACGGGACTGAAGAATCCACGATGAAACGAATAAAGCCAAAAGACCTAAGACTGTAATGATCAAGCAGCTCCCGAGCAGGCGAATTTGCCACTGGTTCAAAAAAAATGTGAAACGCAAGCTAGTAAAATTCCAAGGTTGACTTCATGATTTGCTTTTAATTTTTATACAGCAGCCGGAACAAAATTATATATTGATGATTCGTTATTAGGTCTTTGTGAGTGAAATTAAGATGAAGTCAATCGCAAGAAAATACGAATTTCAAACAGATGGCTTATTTTTATTTGAGATAAAAGCCCTTACGAAAAGGTACATAAATATATCTCAATTACTCTTATTACAGTTGAGAATAACCTACGTTATGATGGATAACGGAAAATTCGACTACTATCTTCTTTCTCACACTAAAAGTAATTCGATTATATTCATATCCATAACTAAAAGGATTTCATCTACGTAAGAGCCTTTCCGAGCGAGCATCTGGGAGCGTACGGTTTTTTTCTAAACATCTCCGGTTCTCCACTAAAAAATTTGCATACGTCATAGGGGAAAGTGATGCAGTAGAGGAAGCCCGATTTTGAGAATGAACTAGTAACCTAATATGAACCGTTGAAATTAATTGATTCGACGCACAAATACCTAAATAACAACCTTCCTAAATTCGTTCATTCTGATAATACTCGAAAATAAGAACCAAAGTTCAATACACCTTAGGATTTTCTGAGATGGACTCTCAACTTTTTATAAAAATCAACAACTATCCATAGAGCCGGCCAAAGCCTTTTAATAGAAAAACTACAAAATAAACCCTAATCACTATGAATGTTAAATTACTAAAATGCCCTCACAATTAAACCCTAACATATTTCTAAGTCTACGCCTCCATCAGAAAGTGATGATAAGGGTTCTAATCTACATCACAGACTCACAAGAATTGGAGATGGTGCATTTCTTTTCATTTTTATTTATTTGGAAAAAATTTTACTGCAGATCAACAGATATTAAGGAAAGCTGATCCTCTCAGATTGAAGTATAAATCGGGACTACAATAGGTTTATGAAGTAGTGTATGGCTACTCTCTGCTTTAAAGCCGACATAACCTTGTAAAAATGTTTTTATAATAGTACACTAAAAAGATCAGCTGCTAATAATACAGGAAAGAGTACTGTTAATAATTAATTTTCCCTACTCAATCAATACTACTTCCAACTCTAAATATAAGACATAAATTTGAACTAAGAGGGAGTATATTTAAGGTGTATACATCTTAATCATGTGGATCTCTTAACAGTTAACACTGATTGTGAAAGGCTTAAAAAAGAAGAATATCAACTCTGATCCAATAGGGTTGTTGAATCTTCCAAGTTCCATTTCAAAGGGCTTGGGTGAAATTTTTCCTTACTTTAGTATCTGGAACTTGATTTCCTAAATATTATGGAATGGTGGAGAAAAAGTTATCTTTTGGCTTACTAAGTTAGTAGCCAGATGGTATTGATTTGTGTGTTGAACTATGCCACGGAAGGTAGATTACTCTTATTGAACTAAAATAATTTAACAAATTATCAAAATATGATGAAGGAGGCGTTTTTGTAAGTTTAGAGAAGTACGAAAAGATGTGGAAAACGAGAGTATTTGGACAACTCATCAAAGGAGACATGTGTGGTCAAAACCCAAGCACTTGCAAAGTGGACGACTTGACTTTCCATTTCCGCAACGAAAACAAAGGTTTGTGATACTTAAATTTGGTGATAAGTTATAACAAAGGTTTTTAAGCTGAAAATGTCACGGGTCTTCATAAACCAATCGGGAAATGAGAAGGACAACAAGTTAAAATAATGCTTAAAAGGCTTATCTAAATCCTATTCTGAAGTCTCCCTAATAATTATAAACCTTACAACAAAAGAAGAAAAGAAAGCTAGAAAACATAAAAGAGACGTAGCTAGCTTCTTGAATCAATCCAAATTCTGTACACAACTTCTAACCCAAAAAATACAGCACAACCGGTAGTATTCCGATGAGGACAGGCCGGCGAATGTGCTCCGGTGCGTCGGACTTGAGCTTAATTCCCTTCTTGTTGACTTTTTGCCCAGATCCATTAACATCCACATTTGCCCCAACAACTAAACCATGTCTCTTAGTAAACCAAAACAGAATTTTGTACCTCACTCGAGTGACCAATCCCACCCGGAAAGTCACCGTGGACCCGTTTGAGACGTTGGCATAAGCGGCCGCCCACGGCACTCCGTGAGTCTCCACCACCGCGTTCCGGCGAGCTTTTTTGCCGTGACCCTGGTAGAACCTCTGGACAGTATAATTTGCTACGGGAAGGCTAGTATTTAGACCATAAAAGAAGGTGATGTTAACATCATCATAGCCAACACCTTTGTCTTTCATCCCATTCTTAAGCCTGAGATCGAAGTAGAGAGTGTGATTGTTTCGGGCAGAGGTCGAATTGTCGGTCAAATTGAGGGAAGGAACATAGAAATCTTGTATGGAGCAACTGGGTTTTGACCCACGAAGACTTAGCCACATGAACAGAGCTGTGAAACCTGAAGTGAAGATGAAGCTGCAGCAGCACCGGCAGCACCCTCCTGCTCCTCCTCCGGCACCTTCTTGCCGGCTGTAGCCGGACATCTCGTCGGACAAAAGAGGAGTGTGGTTTTCCTATTCCCGGTGGGTATAGTGAGGAATTCCGGTACTGAAAGAACCAAATATTATTTAAAAAATGGAAAAGGGATTTATTCGAACGTCTGGACTAGAAGAATGGAACAAACACTGACAGTTTGGCTCCTTTTTTTAAAGGGTGATTGGTACGCGTAAGACCCCTTTTTTGCTTTTGCATCGAATTTACTGAATTGGTATTTGGTAGGAGCCCAGGAGGAGGAAGCAACCAATGTCACTGCCAAGTGCCAAGTGAAAATTCTCTATTGACTTCCTAGTAATTGAACTCGAACAATTCTCTCTTTTTGTTTTTCTTTTTTTAAAAAAAAAAAAAAATTCATCCAAAGAACTCTGACAAATTCTCTAACCGGTCCTTATTATGACTTACAGGTTTGAAATTTTTGGTGCCATAAGCTTACTCTTGGCGGTAAGTGCAGTAATATCACTATATTGAAAATGTTTCACCTATGACACCGCATAAATAACGCGGGGGTTCAATAACTTTAACCAACATCAAAACGTGTTAAGCATTAAAGCGACCTATTAAATAGAACTTCAAAAGAAATTCTTTGTGGACTACTATATATACCCAAAGTTGCAACTTTTGGTATACGACATATTAAATAGAACTTCAAAAGAAATTCTTTGTGGACTACTTAGAGCACCTCCAATCATTTTATTATAATTTGTACCAATTTTAGTGTAAAAATAGAATATTTCAAGAATTTTTTACACTAAAATTCTTTGATCTCCAACCTTGATGCACCAAATGGTATAAATATTTAATATTTTAGGTTAAATTTTATTTTGTGGTTAATTAAAATCTTGTAATTTGTTAATAATTTTGTGAAATTTGTTTTTTATAATCGCTTTTTATTTGATTGTATTATATTAGTATCATTTTTTTTTCAATTTTGTTTCATATTTATTTTTAATAAAAACTAAAAATTGATTTTATATTTAAGATGGGTCTCATTTTGTAGATCTAAACAAACTATTTAATGTGATATAATTTTCACAACATAATTCGTTTTACAAATTCAATTACATAGCAAACATATATTTAGATTAATATAATAGCATACATATATTTAGATCAATATAAAAGATAGTGCACTAAAAATAGTATAATAGATAATTTACACCAAATCTGATGTAACACTATTCATTACACCAAAATAATGTAGTAATTTGGTGTCTTCATTGGAGTGTAATCTTTACACCAAAACACCGAATGTAGTATTTTGGTGTCTTGGTTGAAGATGCCCTTAACATAGTTGTGCCAGGAGTCCAGTATAACATCAAAATTCTTTTCAAAGAAATAATTCAACCATATAGCATTTCATTTGATAACAGCCTAAATTTTCGAGCGAAACTATTTGATTCCTTTCCCATATAACAAAAATTTATCCTACTGACCACTGACAAAGCATCCCCAGTGATAGGCATATACCTCACAATGCACGAGCAAAGCAAAAAAAAGAACGGAAACTCAATATATTTCTGAAAGGAAACCGACTGAATTTTGAAAGAGCCTTCCGTATGGAGACTTAAACTAACGTCTTGAATCTATCAGCAAAAAGGAAACCAAAGAGTACATAAAAAAAATCCTCATGGCGACCAACCATAGCAACAAATGACACATATCGTCATATTTACATGAACTCGTGCAATTAAAAACATGTTACTCATCATCTTTGTAGGGATATTCTTCAGGAACTTGCTTCAAGAGTTTCACCTGCATTTCAAATGCATCATCCCCTCGTAGCATATCACGTATCCATGTAACTTCAGTCTTCATAGACACCTGAACATCGGGAAGAAAAATGTTGATGTTATCAGGAACAGGAGTACAAAATGTATCAATTACTCTCCGATTCATCTTTATTGTTTACTGATCTTTTCTTCCTTTCAACTCACATCTCTCATTTCAATATTTCAAAGGACTAATATTGCTTATACAAACTGACGTCATAAAACATAAAACTAAAAAGGAACAACAGTGTTTCATATGGCAATTTAACAGATTGAATGGTGCAAAATGAATTAATCATGTGAAAATGATGAATTATATGAAATGGTATTCATCATTGTAGGCACCACCAGTTCACAAGTAAGAAAAATCCACGCACATAGAGACAGATTGCGCAGATATTTAGATCCGTGAAAATGTGAATAGAGTATCGCTCCAAGTTACCTACTTAGGTCTAAAAGAGACTAGAAGGCCTTGGGATTGAAGACTTCCATGTAAAACCATACATCTTAAACTTCTCTTGTCTCTTCCCTTTTGGTTCAATTTATATCTCATCTCCAGTATCGAATCGTTTTGATTAATTTATCAAAAGGAGGCATCACAGGCACAAAAGGTAATTAACCAACAGAACAACAAACCTAACTGAGAACTACAGTGAGAACATACATACACAAGAAAATAGCCATAATTAGGAAAAAATCAAACTAACCATCTCCAAAGCTCCTCTGATAACCCCACTCAAGATGTTGCAGTAATACAAGCCTTGACAGGTGTCAGGAAGCTCAACGAAATCTACCAGTGGGTTATCTTCCAAGACCAGACTACAAGTGGTACCTTCAGCATCCCAATTAGTCACTGTTGCAGTGACCCCAAGGAACATTTTGAAAGCAACCTGTTGATGATAAGATTCAGAAACTTCATAAATCAATAACCATGTCAACCACTTCCTGGACTTCAAAAATATACAGAAACACATTCCAGCATTCAAGAATGAAATTAATAGAAACTTGAGATCTTTCAAACTAGAGCACACCCATTAGAAAGTAAGCTTTGAAGCAATGGGTAGATAATTGAGCGCATCCTGACTAAATATGTAATGCGCAAAAGCACAAAATGTAGAATCTGATCAGCTGTTACTGAATTTCCAAGAAAATGCTTATCCTCTTATTTAGTAAATCATCCTGTACATTGTTTGTGCTAGTTTAGTAAGCATGAATAGCCAGACTAGTTTCATGTCATGAGTTTGTACAAAGTATAGTAATCACGATATCTGAAATTGAAATTCAAAACTTTCAAACCTATAGTTTTGAACTTTAAACCTAAGGCTTAGGTTAATAATCAAGAGTGTTATAGTGATCAAACATAGAGGACTAAAAAAAGCAGAAAAAAGGAAACAACATCGAACAGACCTTGGCAATGACGTCAGCAGTTTCCCTGAAATCCACGCATCTAGACACATTGGATTTCGCAAGGAATTCATCAATCAGTCGAATACCAATATTATATCCCCTGCAACGAGAAATTAAAGAGTTCCTAAGTCTGATAGTACTTTGCTGGAAACAAAACAGAAATGAATCGTATAAACAAGGAAAACGCAAAGCTAACTTCAATACTACGGTTATTCTGGGAAAGTAACACTTAGAAGGTGAAAAAGTTAACAATTTACATCTGATCAAGCTGTTTGTTGACTTCCTCAACCTCCTCTAGATCCGTGATCAACTGACGAACAATGGCGCCATAGGTTAGAGTGAAAAGCTCCGCATTCTGTCGAAAATTCATCCAAACACATGACCTTATTTCAAAAAGTGGATCTAAGTACATAGAATTACATAAAAAGTGAATGCATATTATCGGTTTGCTAAGTCAAAAAAGAACAAAACAGTGGAATTTCAGTATCCAGATAGATAGGACGTACCACTCGATCTACGCTGGCGAAGATGGCGTCACCGGATCTTGGAGCAACGGGAGGCATCGGAGCTGTTGATCTTTAAACGATTGCTGATACCGTTTTCACTTTTCAGGTGTGGTTCTAACGGTGGAACTGTGGAAGTGTGAGACAATAGAATTTTAGGAAGATCTGGATTTAAGTTTGGATCAATTTATTGGGCTAATAAAGGACCACGAGCTGGTTTCTGAAATTTGGATGGGTTGTGCCAACCGAGTTGGGTCTTCACTCAGTTGGCCCACTCCATTTTTAATTTCCTCCCCACTCTTTTTCTCTACCACTTCCATTTCCCCCCGACTCCGCAGAAAACCTGAACCATGGATCTTTGCGTGCCAATTGAGAGCTTCGTCCTCGAGTTCCCGGTAAAAACGCGCGTTTTGAGGAAATTTGAGATTTTGTAAGCCGCTTTCGAGATTCCCTAGAATTTTTCCAGCCTCCTGCTCCTCATATATCTCCAATCATCCTAGTATCTCTGGTGAAAATTTCGGAGGGCACAAACCTTGTGGTAAGTGCAGTTTCTCATTTGCTGTTTGCTTCGGAAATTTTGGTTGAGTTTTTGCTGTGCATTTTATGATTTGGTAAGTCTGGAAGGTGAGATTTTGAGGTCGGAGTAATTCTTTATCTTGCAGCTCTAAATGATCAATTGACTTCATGACTTAGCAAATCGAAATGAATTGGCGTTTCTACAAGTTAGTTGTTACTAATATAACGTCTGTCACATAGTTTGTAAGTTCTGAAAGCAAATGGAACTCAGAATTTGTTTGCATCACTTATCTGTTAGTCATTTATGGGCTTCATTGTTTGCGATTAAGGCTTTTTTAGTGTTCTGGAATTCACGTGCTGATTGTTTAGTGCATGCATCCGTCCGCAACTTGGGTTGTTAGTGGACTCTCTTTTTGTAGTTATTTTGGCTGGTTACATGTTGAAATTTGGATTAAAAAAGAAATTAAAAAACCATCCAAAGGTTTACTCTACCATTTGTTTTTCAGGTTTACTTTTCGGCTTGAGATGTGTGTAAATTGTGGTTATTTAGATCATCTTAGAACTGGTATATGTAATTCCAACAGACATGTTATTAATTTGCTGAACACAAACTTATCAGATTGTGCAAATGAGGTTAAATGTGCTCCTGATATTTCATGTATCTAACTTGGTGTTGGCTAACCTTCATTGACTGCATCATCAACTTTCTCTGTTATCGAATTGATCTAGCTTGGGTTGTGTTCCTCACGGATCAGGCTGGGTCCCTCATACAAAAAGCCCATTTTATCCATACCATGTCCCATTAAAAATCAAAATTTTGATTCATTAATCTGTTAGAAGTACTTGTTATGAACTCGAGTAACCACCAATATTAGATATCTGCAATTTTTGTGACCTTGAGTTTTTATGTTATTACTTAGGAGATTTTGTTGCTAATTCTATTCTGGTAACGATTATAAAGAAGTGTCTTTTCCCGTGAGAATTAAGATGCATGTGCCTTGGTTTTCCAAAAAGGATTCAAGTGTATAGACAGGAGAGTGACAGTTGAGATAGTTTGGTTAATTTATGTAGAGTTTCAGAACTTTACCATTCAAAAGTTGATAGGATTTCGTAAAGTTTTTATTGTTAAATCATATACACCTATGTTCAGGTTGATATGTATTTTTACCTTCATGTCTTGGCCGGGAACATGTAAAAAATCGGCAAATTCCCAACAACCTGTGGGCCCTTTAAAGCAGGCCCTTTAAAATCCCAATATCCTTCCTTTTTCCTTCCCTGCACTGACTCTATTTCTTCTCCATCTGCTCAGACTTTCTAGGTTACTGCCCGACGAAACTACCAAATGCATGTTTTCAGTGTGGTGTAAAGTATTTCCTCAGCTTCAATATCAGCTCAAGCATATTTCTGACCATCAGAAATTCTTTCGACTATCATCATTGTCAAGTAAAATAAACTCATTCCATTTCCCCTCTGTTAATTTAAGTTGATAACCTTTATTATTTTTCCTGAAATGATCTTTCATTTTCCCTCTTTTCTTTTTTTTCCCTTTCTTAGAAATGGTTACTGAATTATGGCTTTGCGGTAAATCCATTGCGGAGAATGAATTAGCTCAATCACTGAAAACCAACAACTGTTTGAAGGTTCCTGACAACGAAGCCAGTGGAAACAGTCCTGCTTGCTCGGTGAGACTGCATTCAGAGACGTTAACGACACCGTTGTGCTGGAATAGCGAGTTTCAGGTTCAGGACTATATGAATGCTCTTTCCACTTCACGCTTCGGAAGATTCTTAATTTGCTCTCCCAGATTAGCTTCCACTCACGATGTCATATCCCTGTTAGTTGTTATCCTTTCTTTACTAGCTTCTTAGTGTTCTACTTGTTTTGTTTTCTGTGTGTTTAAGTAATCTTTTATCAGAAGTAACTGATGGAGTTTGAATTCTCACGAGTTAAAAATCTCCACTTTGTAAACTTATGATGGGCCATTTTATCTTCGTTTCACTTGTAAAAGATCGAAATAAATAACCTTGAGGAACGTCAGGGACTCATTTGGCCGTTTCTTCTTTTTGATTGACTAAAGTTTTGATTTTGTTATTGTTTTTATTTTTAAAGTTTTTCTGCCCATCTAAATAATTTTCCCCGCACAATCCCAGCACAAAATGGCATGAAAGGCACTGACCTTATGGCAACTGACACTTATATCAAAGCACGGATTCTTTTCGATATCTTGGAACTTGCTGAAGTTGGGGGCATATTTCTTTTAAAATCTTATTGCTGAAAAGGCTGTAACTTGATGTTACCGTTTGACTCTTTTTAGTTTGTAAATTGTTATGCAGCAACTTTGGTGAGTTGCCAGTTGGGGCAGCTTGTGTTGCAGATGTACAGACGAAAGGGAGAGGTATTGTTAATGCGAGAAAGATCTAAATGCTTGTCGCAATGATGTTTCAACATTTCCTCCTTATGTTTTGTAGCTGTCAACTTGTCTAACCATGCTAGGAACATGTAGGTAGGTCAAAAAATGTGTGGGAATCTCCGAAAGGATGCCTAATGTTTTCCTTCACTATACAAATGGAAGATGGCAGAGTTGTTCCACTTCTACAGTATGTGGTTAGTCTAGCTGTGACAGAAGCGATTAGAGATCTTTGTCAACAAAATGTGAGTTATTTTGGTTGAACTCACAGCTATTATTTGTTAACTCTGGTACTTTATGGTGCAAATCATTAGTTTTTGTGCTCAAATTCATGGATTTAAGTGGAAATGTTTAGGATTTACGTCTTGAGCATATTATTTTTAATAATCACAAGGAAGAGTCAATGAAATGGTTACTATTGCATAAGTCGGTTAAATAATGTAAATTCTGCGTTGCAACATTTATTCGGCTATTCTATTTTGATGCATGTGTTTTGGGGAATCTCTTTTAGGGCACAGCGCAACTTGATGTTAAAATAAAGTGGCCGAATGATTTGTACTTGGATGGCCTCAAAGTAGGTGGGATTTTGTGCACATCAACATACAAGTCAAAGAAGTTTAATGTCAGTGTTGGTAAACATTCGCATACACAACTCGATTCACTCTGTTTTGTGCTTCTTTATTAGACCAGCCTAGTGCATTAACAATGGTAATTTGTAAACCTTTTCTCTTCTCACATCCAGTAATGAAAACACACCTAATCTCCTGACACATTGAGTTTCTGCTTAAGGTTCACAAAAGCTGGGTTTTTCATTCATTTCTCTTGCTACTTGATATGCAGGAATAGGCTTGAATGTTGGTAATGAGAAACCAACCATCTGCTTGAATGCAGCTCTGCTAAAACTCACTCCTGTGGCTCGTGAACTACAGCGAGAAGATGTAATGGCAGCTTTCTTCAATAAATTTGAGTATCTGTATGGTATCTTCATTCAACAAGGTGAATACTGGTAAAAAACCTCGAGTCTTGATCAATATCCCACATGTTGGTCTTGTATAATCCCTTATCTTGGTGATATATCTCTTGAAATCCTTAAATATTGGCTCCATATCCTACAGGATTTCGATCTCTTGAGGATTTGTACTATAAGTCTTGGTTACACAGGTAATACCTTCCCTTGCTATTTTTTGAGAAGTCTTGTAGAAGATGCTAGATACGTGTGTGGTTCTTTTCCATGTAAACAATAGAAAAATGCGTCTTGTCAAGTTATTTCCTTGGTAGCAGATGAATGAACATGTCAACCAAACAATAATTTAATAAACAGATTAAACCATTTTTTTTAATCTCTGCAGTGGTCAAAATGTCATAGTGCAAGAAAGAATTGATAATCAAGACGAAGCTACAGAAGAGTTGGTCACCATTCAGGTGAGTTTATATCTTGATCATACGTGCTTGTTTGTGTATTAGCAAGCCCTTTGTGTTTTTTTTACTTTCTCTGCTAATCTTTTTGTATCAGGGTTTATCGCCGTCTGGTTATTTATTAGCTGTATCAGAAGACGGTCAAACATATGAACTTCATCCTGATGGAAACAGGTATGTGATTTTGTTTCAGTTACCTACTGGCAAAAATGTTGAAATTGTGTACAATGTGCCACCAAATCATGGTGGAAAGATTTTATCATGCGTTGTAAGTTTTCATTTCCCCTGTGCCACCAAATTTGCTGCCTTTGACGGACTGTACCCCTCTAAATCTTTGTAGTCATAGGGAAAACTGAGTTATTGTTTCATGCTTCTTGTGGTTTTGTGCTGAATTCCAATCTGAGATTGACATTGTAAAGTAGTCCTTAGCAAGTGTTTGAATAGAAAAACGGCATTCTCCCAAGACAGTTCATTATAAAGATTTCCCTCTCCTTTTTCTTGCTCTCTTGCCGGAGGTGATGACCTGTCAAAGCTATTAGGTTCTGCATCACTGCTGCATAATCACCTCCCCCACAACCCCAACTTGCATGAGCAAATGCTTGCATTCAGGAGCTGTTTTGTGCTTTTCCTTTTTTCTATTTTTTTTGCGGTTAATGCCTTTTAAGTTCTCTGTTTCCGGAACTAATACTATGCATTGCTGGTTGTTGCTGCAGTTTTGACTTCTTTAAAGGCCTCGTCAAGAGAAAACTAGCTTGAATATAGGATTCACTGGTGCCTTTCTTTGCCGATGGAGTGCTATAAATGTCATTCCTTATGGACCTCCTTAGCTTCAGTAGAAAGATCAAGATTGAAATTTTTTTTGTTAATGTTTGACAGTCCACGTAGAGGAATGATCCCTTTTAGTTTGAAACAGGAGAAGGTCCGTGTGAGCGGACGGATAGGCAGTGATCTGTCTGGACAAGAACACGAAACTCGCTTGATTTCTTGCAAATTGCAATAAGGAAAGAGATGCAAAATGATGAACTGTGTACTGAAACCGGAGCATTGTTTCTTTCTCTTGGTTCTAAATAACTGGTTGAATACTCGAATGTGATATCATTAAAAAATCCATAGTGTAAGCAAGAAACGTAAAAAAAAAAACATTAAAAAATTGTAAATAAACATAGAATTTAGGATTTAAATTATTTTCTTTTTTTTTTTTTTGAAAACCACAAAATGTTTTTATTCATCATCGTATCAAAATTATACTATAACAGAAGATATACAATTCAACTCCTAACTATGTATGTGTTCAACATCTCGTCTAACCGGAGAAATTTCAATGGCTCAGTTCTTTCCTTGAAGAAATTCGATGGCCCAATGCAATAAAGAATACAGAAAACTTTGGAAATGGGTGAAGAGCTGGCTTTTTCGATCAATAAATTGTTTTTAAGTGTCCCATAAATCAAATCAAGGGTCCCAATGTCGAAACGGCTCTTTCTGAAGGCTACAAAATCACATAATACTCTTTAATAGAAAAATATCTTTGGATTAATCCAGGTGCTCATCGTCGATGAAGCTGATGTAGTCGTTGTTATGGCCTACATCACGAGACCAGGCTCCGCCAGTGCTTTGATATTCACGTCACTGATAAATAAATAAATAAATTTGCTGGAGATAAAGCAGGTATCGTCAGTACTAATAATAGAGGTAATAAAATAATAGTTTCATATAAATATATCATATCATATTAGAAACAAAAACTCCCCTTTCAAACACGTTATATGATTGCCACGTGACATGAGAAAAGTATTAAATTGTCATTTTGTCTAACCATAACTAAATTATTAAATCCCCCTTTGCACTTTATGTGACACGTTTTTTTTTTTAATTTTTTCTTTATGTTTCATTCAATTAGAGTGGTTTTCTAAATTGGATTGATCAATTAGGTTTTTGTTACAAAGTGTCAATTTTGTTTTAAGCGTATTGATTTGGCACGACCAATGGAGAATATCAATAAATCATCTTACTAATATTTAAACTTATTAGAATACTTTTATATTTTAGCTAACATTTACTTCGACACATATATTCGATTAAGTCTATTTATATTTAATAAGTAACACTTATAAAACATTTCTAAAATATACATGGCGAAATACAATTTCTTTTTTTTGTGAAATACAAATATTTCTATAATCACACTTATAAAATATTTCTAAATCCTTCAAACATTTCTAAAATATATCGCTTCAAATGCAAAATTTTATTTTTTTCAAATATAAATATTTCTAAAATCTACAGATAGACTAGGTCAGGGTCGTGCATTGCGCGACTAGACATCACTAGTATAAATATATAATAATATAAAGAATTTTAGGTTTCCGGCGTCACCTAAAAATATAAAGAATTTTTGGTATCAATAATTACTACAGTAGAAATAATTGGAGGACTATAAGATATCTGGAAAAAAGGGGTAAAAAATAAATACGTAAATTTCTGTTCCAAAACAATAGTAGTAATTTTGTAAAAGGGCAACACGACGGAAAGAGGCAAGTTGATGTTAACTCCGTTAACTCAACAAAAAGACACTTTAATGGATAACATTCGTTCGTGGAATATAATTAAGAAAGACTGTCTAAAGGTCAAGCGGCCACCGAACGATTATTTAAAATACTAGTATATGTGTATTTAATTTTTCCAAGTTGAATAAATTAGGAGGGGAGAGGAGGAGGAACCCACCACCCGCAAATAATCTTATCCCAGATGCCAAAATGGATCGCTGCTGTTTGGAGCGCGTGCAGAGTAGTAGGCACTAGTATTACTCTTATTTTTCAGTCACTTATTTATCTCATTATTTTCAATCCTATTATATAAAAACTAAGGTTCAAATACTACAAGTCTACAACATCTCAACTTCCAAACAAAATTTTTACAATATTTTATTTGATTAATTTATTAATGTGGTTGCTTATGGAAAACTTAATCGCACCGTTTTGTATACTTTATTGTGACAGAAAACTATGAAATAAATAAAAAATCATGTACTAATTTAATTTGTTTGTGAAATAAAATGCATAAAGAATTAGAAAAGGAATAATAAGTTGATTCAATCAATCACTTAAGTACAAATTTTCATTGCATGCATATGCTAATTTATAAGGAAAAATCTTCAAATTTAAGGGACTTACCCATTGAGTAATTGGATACTTTGATTTTTTTTTCTTTTGAAAGAAAAAAGAACTTTATTACTGTTGTTGGCAATCAGCCAGCTCTGATTGATACAGAATGTCTAACAACAACTAAAGAAAGTACATCCACTAAACTAGTCACTAAACTTTGACAATTTTGTCATTCATTTACTTTGAAAACAATACATTATGATTTATATGACAAATTTATGGAAATTACACATGGTTGGGTTTTACTTTAAGTTGAATTCTACGTTTCAACTTAAATGGAGAATATGACACGTATAAAATAATCAAAATATCTTTGAAAAATGTTGTGTTATTACAATTTTTTTACAATTCTAAATTATTAAGATGCACATTGATATACGATACAGTGTATAATAGTAGAAATTCAAAATTTAATAAATGCTTTACAACTCATTTCGAATGTTGTTTTTCATTTACTTTTCCTTGATACTAAATTTTGATTATTTCATACAAAATTTTCAAACATTGTTTATACAAGAATTTCAAGTTTCCACATTGTTTATTCTTTTCTTAGGGGAAAAATAAAAAATACCAGGACTTTTACAAAAGAAATTTCGCCTTCATATAGTGTGGAAGGAAAAAAAAAACACATACAGTCGCTATATCATTGTTAGTAAATAATAAGCATTACGAGATTATTAATTGCAAATGCGATTATTTTAAAATTTTTCATATTCCTTCCTACATAATTTGTATTTTTATTACTACCCATATATGATAGATATTAGTAATTATTAAATGTATTTAATTGACGGTTACAGTAAGAGTGATTCCATTGTGTGCATACACAACCACAAGAATGACAAAGCAAATCCCAATATTAATTGCTAGATTTATTCCCCATAATAGATATAGAAGCTAAAACCTACTCAATATTTGGAAACTAAATACTGATATCTCTCGTGCAATGTTTGATTTTTTTTTAAACCGTAACTTTTATACGTTGCTTGATTAAAAGCGCGGTTGAGGAGAATCCGTATCCGATGCGAGTGGGGATTTAAGTTGGAATGGGCTCGTAATCATCGCCCACCACACAAACCAAAAGGGTTAATAAATTCAAAAAAGAAAAGAAAAAAAAAAAGACTCCAAAAAGAAAAAGAATAGTGAACAGAATCCACAACCACAACCACAGCTAGGTGAAGGAAGAAGAAGTCTGAGGACAAGTTGCAACCATTATTTGCCGTGTAGGTTTGGGTTAGTTGAACCATTTCGACACGTGGCTTATCCTAATAGGTCATCTCACCGGGCAATTTCTTAGTAAGTCGGTTTACTCCTCCTTTAAATTCAGGCCTCCCCGATAGCTCCTCCTCATTCATTCAGAAACTATTCTCTACGTTAGCCTTCTCCAATTCGATTCGTAGCCTGCTTCTCTTTCTCTCAAGGTATTTTTTAATTCCTCTCAGTTCTCTTCTTTTTATTACCTTGTTTCAATCTCTTGGTATTTCTGGATTAGCTTTTTTGTCTGTGATTACTTTTTTTTGCTATTGTTTCAATCGCCGATTAGGGCTTCTGTGGAAATTGGGGCTTTTGGATTCTGTGGTTTGGGATTGCTGCTATTCTTTATTCTATAGATTGGGAATTGGTTTATATCAGTTTGTTGTTATATTCCTCTAGCAGTTTGTGTAATTCTCTGATCGGTTAATTATTATGGGAAGGCTGATTTTGCTGAATTGTTTGATAATTTGAGGAGTCTTGTATGGGCTGTCTTTCTTTTCTATTGAATTACTATTTGGATGTTTGTCTCTCCTTCGAAGGCGTCCCTGTTTTCTTACTTTAGATCGTTGAGTATTCACGTATATATAGGTTTCTGGTGTCTGATGTTCTGAATCTTTGGTTCAACAGATGCAGATCTTTGTCAAAACTCTTACCGGTAAGACCATCACTCTCGAAGTCGAGAGCAGCGACACCATCGATAATGTCAAAGCCAAGATTCAGGACAAGGAAGGAATTCCCCCGGATCAGCAGAGGCTTATCTTCGCCGGAAAACAGCTTGAGGACGGCCGTACCCTCGCTGATTACAACATCCAAAAGGAGTCAACCCTCCACTTGGTCCTCCGTTTGAGAGGTGGTATGCAAATCTTCGTCAAGACCCTCACTGGGAAGACCATCACCCTTGAGGTGGAAAGCAGCGACACCATTGACAACGTCAAGGCCAAGATCCAGGACAAGGAGGGCATTCCCCCAGACCAGCAAAGGTTGATCTTCGCCGGAAAGCAGCTTGAGGACGGCAGGACCCTTGCTGACTACAACATCCAAAAGGAGTCAACCCTCCACTTGGTCCTCCGTCTCAGGGGTGGTATGCAGATCTTTGTGAAGACTCTCACCGGAAAGACCATCACCCTTGAGGTCGAGAGCAGCGACACCATTGACAACGTCAAGGCCAAGATCCAGGACAAGGAGGGCATTCCCCCGGACCAGCAAAGGTTGATATTCGCCGGAAAGCAGCTTGAGGACGGCAGGACCCTGGCTGACTATAACATCCAAAAGGAGTCAACCCTCCACTTGGTCCTCCGTCTCAGGGGTGGTATGCAGATCTTCGTGAAGACCCTCACCGGGAAGACCATCACCCTTGAGGTTGAGAGCAGCGACACCATTGACAACGTCAAGGCCAAGATCCAGGACAAGGAAGGCATCCCCCCAGACCAGCAAAGGCTTATTTTTGCTGGAAAGCAGCTGGAAGATGGCCGGACTCTAGCTGATTACAACATCCAAAAGGAGTCTACCCTTCACTTGGTCCTCCGTCTTAGGGGTGGTATGCAAATCTTTGTTAAGACCCTCACCGGGAAGACCATCACCCTGGAGGTTGAGAGCAGTGACACAATTGACAATGTGAAGGCTAAGATCCAGGATAAGGAGGGTATTCCCCCAGACCAGCAGAGGTTGATTTTCGCTGGAAAGCAGCTGGAAGATGGAAGGACCCTGGCTGACTACAATATCCAGAAGGAGTCCACCCTCCACCTTGTCCTACGTCTCCGTGGTGGTTTCTGAATGTCTCGGTGAAGTTGCTGTTTCGGGCTGGAGATGTTGAGTGAACATTGTTTGGCATGGGAAATGGTCTTTTCCTTTTGTGTTTGTGTATGGGAAGGCTTTGGTCCTAAAACTTCTGTTGTTTTTGTTGTTGTTGCTGGGATTGGTGGCGGTGTTCTTTTGTTTTTGTTTTGGGAGATATATGGCGGTGTTGACATTGTGTTAATAAAAGTTGTTTCTCTGGAATTATAGTAGCAGCTGTCTTCCTATGTTTAAATATCATCCAGATTCTGATGTTTGGCTATCTCAAGTTCCAAATTGGTTTCAACTGTAGCTGTTGTGTTGTGTTTCTGCCAAGCCTGAGCAGAATCCAAGTATTATGAAATACCCTCTTGTCCAGCAAGGAGCCGTTATAATTCATTCTTTTCTTGAGATACTTGTGCTGTTTTACATTTGCCATTGCCAATGGATTCATGTGCAACCTGGCCGTTTTTCCATTTAACTACAAAGTTGAGCTCCTTTGCCAACGAGCGTTTGGATTTCAACCGGCGCAGTCATAATTGTGTCCTATGGTCTAATCAAATGAACAAAAATGCCTAGTCTTTTACGCCTTAGACGGCTAGACCTGAAGATGAAAAATGTTGCAAAGTGGGATTGGAGTTTAGACATTCAGCAGGAATTTTGCTCTTTTTTTTTATATATATTGAGATGAAAGTTAATTTTCATTAAAATTCCCGAAAGGATTCCCACATGTTGAAAACGGAACACCTAACTAAAATACTTGAATAATACTTGTTCGTTCTCTTGCACTATACTTGTTCTGGGATGTATATCTCATTTGCAGAAGTATTGAGATTCTTACTTTCAAAGAAAACGAAAATATTCATCATTAGTTAGCTTCAGAAGAAGTACGTAATCGAAAGATTTATTCATATATTTGTAACTAGGACTGGCAGTTGGGCGGGTTGGGTCGGTGATCGGTTGGGTCAAAGATGGATTTGGGAGTAGGCAAGTCAAGACCTAATCCAACCCGCGCGGGTTAAAACGGGTTGGGTGAAGACGCGTCGGCGCAGTTGACCTGTTCAAGTTCATCTAGTATAAATTTTTGACTCGTGGCATGACCTATACAGGTTGACCCGCGGGTCATGGCTTATTTATTTATTTTTTTATTGGGTTAATTTTTAAATTTTAAGTTTTCTGAAAAAATAACATACATTAATTTTAAAATTAAAATTTTCTAACTTACACTTGTATTTGAAAACTCATTCGACTTTAAATTTTCGCGTTCCGAGCCAAGTTTAGCTGGGTCGATCCGAACTGGAAATTTTTTTCAAATAAAATTTGCATTTGCGTTGCTTGTGTTCTTCATATAAAACTCACTGTAAGGCTCAAAAAAGATTGCAAATCTCGGTTTGCCTTATACTTCACAAAACTAAAAGGATAATCATGTTGCACAATGGCAACTGCCATATTCTCTCTGTAGACATCTTGATTTACAGCAACCAATGTAGGCTCACCACCAATTTCTACATCTTTATGTTTTTTTCATAATGTCGAGTTAAATTTGTCGTACCTACTTTTGAGTCGGCAACATTTTTGGCTTCACAAATCTTACAAACAGTTTTTCTTCTTTTATTAATTTTCATAATATTAAAGCCTTTCTAGACATTGGAAGTGAGTTCTTTACGATCCTCATTATCACCAATAGTAGATTCGCCGGTTATCTCATGAGATTATAAACTAGACATTGTAAACTAACCTACAATGGATCACCAGAATGAACTGTCACTTAACAAGTACAACAGACCAAAACTGAAAATGCAACATCATAACATGTTCCAAACCAAAACTATGCATGTTCCAAGGGTGTTTTCCACAAATTCAGAATATCATTACATAATTATACCCACTGACCAAGCAGAAAAATGAAAGAAAACTCAGTCAATCATAGAAATCAATTGCTGGAAAAGAAGTGAGACAATCAACATCATACAAGGGTCAACAAAGGCATAGACTTGACACTAATATAAAAGCATAGAAACAATTCCTGCTCTCCAAAAGGAAAAAAAAAAAAGAGAAAAAAAGAAGCTTAAAATCAAGAGATTCCCGCGAAGAAACACAAACTTTGATATGGGCTCCTGAGTCGAGTGCCTACTGCCTTATTTTTTTCCAAAATAGCAAGGCAATCACTCATTCATTCTGGAGGGACTCAAAACTGACAAACTCAATTCAAATGATCAAAGAAGTAAGCCCCTTTTCGTTTTTCATTCGTGTATATTCTCCATGGAAATTAATCAAAAAGAGTCATTTTATGCACAACAAGTAAACGCATCCAGAGAATCGCATTACAGAAATTTCTGAGCACAAGAAGGAGAAAAAAGACGTTTCACTACAAAGCATGACAAGTCAAGAGATCCAAGAGACTAAGCTCTACCCCAATGATCCCTGTCGTAACCTTCTTAGCATCTCCAAACTATTTTCAGGAACTTATCTCTTACGAACAATGGAGGGAACTTAAATCTCTTCTAAACAGCAATAAATGGAATTTCACAACCTGAAAAAAATCCCAAGGTATTGTAATCTGTTAAGGTAAGAATAACAATGCATCTACTTTAGCATCAAGGAAACACTGACCAATGAATTGAACTAGAGAAAAAACACCATAATTGTTTGTTCTACTGATTAAGTGAGGACATATATATCAGCTCAGTAGGAGTATCAAAACAAAGAATTCCATTTTAGCATCAAGATCTCTTATGCAATAGAGTGAGATACAAATCAGAGTATATATAAATCAGTAAATACACTTTATCCCACTGCTCAATGTTCGCTATACTGATCAATACACAGTCATTGAATTCTATATATATAAAAAAAATTCTTATAGGAGCTATAGCATGAAAGACCAACATGATGCCATTATCCCTTTTTTTTCCTCATTGGGACTGGCTTGCTAAAGCTACATAAACCATGGATTGAAGTACACATGATTCAACGAAAACTGGCAATTCAATTAAAAGGAAAAAAACCTAAGAATCCCAATAAATCATAATTCAACCAAAAAATAATTATAATAAACGAAGCGACAAAGGGAAACACCATTACACATATACAAAAGAAACTATTCACAACCAAAAGAAAAACAAGCAATGAAACGAAGAGAAGGAGGGAGAATTAGAAAGAGCAGAACCGTAGGCGGAAAGACCAAAATTCAAACAGCCCATTTTCTCAAAACATCAAAAATAGCCTTCGGCACAACTAATTTCAAGAAATGTCAGCAATGCCCAAAAAAATCCAAAACAACACGAAATTGATTCAACATGAAAGCAAACCCGATCTAGAAAACGAAAATAAAACAGGCCTAGAAGAGTAAGCATCAAATAAGAAAAAGATCTAGAGAAAGGAAGAAAAAAAAAGGGAAGGGCAACAGACCTTGACGATCATGTTTCCGATGGTCTCCGTCAAAGTTGATACGGTCGACTCCAAATTTTCGATTGGAAAAGCTACGGTGAAAGCCTGAAAGGGGGCTTTTGGGTCGATCCGTCGATGTAAGAGAAAGTGCAATAAAGACGAAAGACTTCTTTTTTCGTATATAACCCATCTTGACCCGCGGTTCATGAAAACCCAACCCAACCCAACCCAACCCGTCTATCACATACTCATTCTGACCCACGACCCGTTCTGACCCGCGACCCATTTGACCAAATCCATACGGATCAAAATACTACGCGGGTCACGGGTCAGATTTGCCATGCCTATTTGTAACTAATAGATGTAATTACATCTCTAGCAATACTATCTCCAGGAGGACCAGGACTACTGGATTCGTATTCCTGTAAGATTCTCTCCCAAGCATGCGCAAAGAAAAGATGGAAGCGGTGTGTCCACTTAGGCCATGGTTTTGGGGATGATTTGAACAGGAAAAGTATTCAAAGTGAAACCGTTCCAATGCTCTTCTTCCAACAAACATAGGCCAATTTTCGTTATCAGTGGTTGGTTATTTTTGACGAATTTTTGTTTAGAGAAAATTTGGATGAGGGGCAATAGAGAATAACTTTGTTATTAGTGGTTGGTTATTTTTGACGAATTTTTGTTTAGGGAAAATTTGGATGAGTGGCAATAGAGAATAACTAATTAATAGTAAGGGTAGTACTTTTGAATTATTTATATCAAGGACATAATAATTCAACTAAACAAATATGACTTAGCATTTAATATAGTTTTTGTTTCATTTCCTTTTTCAACACATAAATTAACTTTTAATTTCTAAGTAATATAAAAGATAATGTTTAAATATTAATATAGAAAATCTGAAAACTTACATGATTAATATATATATTACAGCTAACTGAAAAATAAGGGTTAATATTTCGGTTTTTTTAAAAAAAAAAAATTCTAAAAGGGGATTTTACTTTTTCTGCTTTTTTTTTTCAATAAGAAAAACCCACTTTCACGTGAACTAAGACTAGAAATTGTTTTTTTTTTTTTCAAAACCTCATACTTAAATAAGTCAAAAATAATTTAATTACAAGAGTTTAATCACATATTTTGTATTTTATCAGAGTGAAAAGTTTAAAATTTAATAATGTAAAAACTTTTATGTCTTCGAGATTATTTAGTTAATGAAATATACATATATATAATTATTTTAACCACTTTAATATTGTTATTTTAGTTATATGCACATAAAAAATAAATAGGATATACTTTCACAATATTTAAATAAATGTAATTAGAATTTTTTTAATAGTTAAACTCATGTTTGTATGATTGAAATATTATGCCCCTAAAACAAAAGTACTGCTCTTTTTATTAATTATTTCTCCTCCACTGCCATTTATCCAAATTTTTCCTTTTGTTTTTAAATCTATTCGAACATGTTAAGCTAGGTAGTACTTTTTCGGGGAAAAAAAAAAGTTAAGCTAGTAGTTTAACTATTGTTATTTCGTGGTTTTACCATAGTATGGATTCTTCATTTTCTTTTTAAAAAACAAAACTCGGGCATTTGCCGATAGATGAAAGTGTCAATTTTGAACATAAATTGTGTAATTGTGCATATTTTCTGTTCTAAAATAATTATTTAAATTTTCCATGTAAGCTTTTTTTTATTAAAAAAAGACGAAAAACTTTATGCCATATTGGTTATAATAAAAGTGATAATTGTGTTAAACAATATTGTATAAATGGATTGCCTTTTGTGACTTTAAAGGTTGCAAATAAAATCTTCTTAACACCAAGATTGCTCCAAATTATTAGTCTAAAGATTTAAGTGTAAATCGAGAATCTATGTTGACTATGAATAGTCAATCGGGGACTGAAAATGATTATAGAAAATATGAGTAATGAATGAGAATATTGAATTTTCCCCCAATTCTTCTATGAAATCTCCGATCTCCTTTGGTGTAGGTCGCCGGATCTCCGGTATCTGACAAGTTTCTTCCTTCGCTAGTAATTTTGTTAAAGTATAGACGTCCATAAGTAACCGTTGGTATAGTACAAAAAATAATAATAAAAAAAATTGTACTTACACATTCTAAAAATAATTATCATATTTAAATTTTTACTTTAAGTACAATTTATTGTAGAAACAAAAATTCAAACTAAATAATTATTTCGAGGCAAAAAGTATTATAAATAATACTCCTTCCGTCCATCAAAAATAATTCGCATTGAGTTTTTGAGTTTTGTACTGTTTTTAGTACAAATTTAAAAACTCAATATGAACTATTTTTTTGGGACGGAGGCAGTATATAAATATAAACAACATAATCATTTTAGGACGGTGTAATAGAATTGTTTCCTCAAAAAGATAATTAATGGAATTGAACTCGCAACATAGCCGCAACGCTTCTTTTTGACGATTCAGCCTTTGTAGGCATTAGCGTGATGGCACCAGCCTAATCGGCAATTCCCAACAACCTGCGGGCCCCATTAGAGTAGGCGGCTTTAAATTCCCCAAGATCCGCCACCCGTCTTTTTTCCTTCCCTGCACTGACTCTGTTTCTTCTCCATCTATCTGCTCAGACTTATCCTGATTTTGGGGTTTGCTCCGTTTTACTTCGATCACACCCGACCCAAACCCCGAACTACTTGGATCAGGTATTTTCTCCATCTCCTGCTCCACTTCGTTTAGATCGATGCTATTCCTTTTCTTCCCCTTCTTGATTTTATTATTCCGCGAGGTTTGATCTTTTCATATTCGCATCGATTCATTTGTTGGCCGTATTCTTTTAGGGTTTCCTTTGTTTTTTTAATTGTTATTGGCTGCTCGGTTTTTTTAAATTTCTACAAGTATGCTTAAGTATGCAAGCACATGTTCGTTATTGACTGGGGTTCTTTTGATATTAGTCACGATTATAGGTTTTTAGAATCGTGGATTGTTCAAAGTATAATTTTCTTGATGCAATTGGAGTGTATCTTTAGAAGAGATTATGCGGGATGTGGAAATTACTTGTGTACTCAGTCAAATTAATAGTATGTTGCAAGTTTTTACCTTTCCCCGTGGTATGAATTTTGCATTTTCTGGCGACCATGTTGGTTTAGTAGCAATGAAAGGATGAACTATGAAATGATTATGATTTTGTGTGAGGCTTTTTCATCATGTACTTCGTTGCTGTTTGTTCCCTTTCCCTGAAGCTTGTTGGGATGTGTTCTTTGGAAAATATAGAAATTTTGCTATTTAGTAGCATCCATCTTTTACCGTGTGGCCAGTTTCTGATGGCAGTTTCCTCCTATGCAGGTCTGAGCATTTGACTTTAGTGCGATACTCGTTGGATCTTGGTTTATCTGTAATTGAAGTTTCATGTCTGACTTCGATTTGCAAGCTCCAGCTGCTTTTGGTATGCTCATCCTTTATCCTGTTTTAAATTTGATTGCTTTTATTATTTTGTTTCTCTAGTTGTCCGATTAATACACTGTTGGGGGAAGCCTATTTAGTCCCGTGTGCATTAACAATGCAGAAGCTTTTCAGTTGTGTAATAGAATTAGGGGATAAATGGTTCTTATAGGAATATTCCCCGGGGTTAGTTACTAATTTGCTGTTTTCATGGGCAGACCCTTTTGCTGAGGCAAATGCTGAGAACTCGGGTGCTGGGTCAAAGGATTATGTGCACATCCGTGTCCAGCAACGAAATGGTAGGAAAAGCTTGACGACTGTGCAAGGTCTTAAGAAAGAGTTCAGCTACAACAAAATACTGAAGGACCTCAAGAAAGATTTTTGCTGCAATGGCACTGTTGTGCAAGATCCAGAGCTAGGCCAGGTTTGTATTTTTAGATGTCGTCACCTGGCTTGATATCTGTAGTTCTGCTTCTGGAGGGTTTTTATTTTTTTATTGTTTTTCCTCTTCAAAACCTGATATTGATTCTTTCTCGTGAAGGTCATTCAACTCCAAGGGGATCAGCGTAAGAATGTTTCATCTTTTCTTGTTCAGGTACCGTTCTCAGGTCATATTTTCTTATTAATTATCATGGGTCGCCTGAAGCCACTAAATTACCATAACCAACTAGCCATCTGAATTTAACTGTTCTACTAGAGTTAACTTATATGCTAATATGCATCTTCTCTGTCATATCTGTTTCCCCTTGTGTGGTATGATGAGATCTCGTATCGTGGGATGCTGTTCTTAAGCTGGCTGTGTGGATTTTAGATTTTAGTTTGCCATGAGGCAATACAACTTGTGATTCTGAGCATATTGTTCTCTGATCACAACTTTAATCATCATGGTTTTGTTATCCCTGCAACAGGCTGGAATTGTGAAGAAGGAACAAATCAAGATTCATGGTTTTTAACTGCCAAGATCCTTCTCGCTAGTTGATACTCCTCTAGTGTCGGTGCCTAACATAGTAGTGTTATCTGGTGTGCTATTGTGAACTGGATGTCTATCAAGATTCATGATGGTTTAATCTAAATCAGCGTGTTTCGTTTATCTAGTACTACTTTAGTATTTGTTATCTGGTTGTAATGGGATACTACTTGTTATGGCTTGAGTTTATGCTAAATAATTGGCGTTATTACTTTGGCAAGTACAGCTTGTTAATATCTACGTCCAGAATACATTGTCATTAGAAGAGGCTGAACATTCAGCCTTTAACATGAATTTGAATAAAATCTGGTTCCAGTAAGTCAACATGCTAAAATAATGTCGGCGTGTTCTGTTTGACAGATGAGTCTTTCAGTTTCTTCACGGGTTTAGCGTCTGCCCGCAGATCATAAGGCAAAAGTGGATTCAAAACTTTAAAAAAGGGTCTGTCTTGATTCATGTCATATGTCAGGTGGGGAACAAAGTTGAGTAAACTTTTAGATTTTATACTAGCAATTTTAGTTCTGTTCTTTTTTGTTTGAGATTTGCACTGTTAATGCAAGATCACAATCTTTTTTGTTTTTCTTCCCTAATTACAAGAAAATTTTTTGCACAACACTATGACATTAGTTTGTGTTGAATGGGTACAACTTCCTTTCATGATGTTCTAGTTCAACAAATATAAGTTCAGGAGGAGGGATTAAAAATTTAAAAACTAGTGTATATTTTGTTTTAAGACAAAAAAATTGTTTCCCAATAATAGAAGGTAGTGAGTTGGGGTCGAATGACACAGGAAACAGGAAGTCACAACTAATGACGACGTCTCTGAAACTGAATCTACTAAGATCTAAAATCCGTGCGTGGCCATTTCACCTTTTCACGTACTGCCTCTGTACGTGTCTACGCCATCAACTCATGTCCTAGTCCATCAGATAGATATTCCTGGATATTTTTGGTGGTAAAGTGTCTTGTGCATTTTGATGATGTCAAAATCATTTGGGCTGTGAGTCATCCATATTAGTGTGGATGGTTTTTGAGTGTGTTTTTTTTATATATTAGAAATGTAAAAATGTATATTGAAAATATAAAAAGGTGTAATGAGAATATAAAAACGTATGTTGGGATGGAATAGATATTAATTAAAAATTCTGAAAAAATGAACGAAAAAATAAACCAAACGAAGCCTTAATATTTTATCTTTGGTTGAATGAAGCATCACATATCAATTGGATTCCTCCCCCACCCCCAAACTTTCATTTTGGTTATTCTATCGGTCCAAATTGCATTCTTCACCAAAACATGCCATCACACATGTTTACATTATCGCGCTATTAGGTTAGTGACTGATCATTAATCGGATATCATTACAACAAATTATATGAGGACTAGTCGACATGAATAAATTAGACATGGATATATTCTTCTCTTCCTATGTGTCTTTTGTGTTATCATTATTATTATATTATTAGTTATTGTTATGTAATGGAGATACTTGATAAGTAATGAATGTTGTTACAAACTAATTAACATAAGATACTATTAAAAAAACAATAATGCTACGTATTGGAAAAATTTTAAAGAAAAAGTCACAAAAAATTGTCATGTCCATTCTTTTTTAACATTTCTTGTATAAACTCCATGCATTTATTAAAATCAGATAATTTAGATAAGTGACACAAAAAAAAAAAAACACAATTGTGTATCTGGTCTACACGTTGTCCATACAGTATCACATTAGTCACCTGAGATTACACACACAGTACAACACCCAGTTCAGTTCAAAGTTTTCCTCAGTTGACGAGGCTTCCCCATCACTCCCAGCTTCCTCCCGGTCCCATACAAACAACAATCATCATTCATCATCAATTAGAATCTTCTGTATCTACCTCTTTTTGAAACGTTTCCAACATTCCCCAGCTCCATCCATCACTCAAGCAACTGCAACAAGAAAATGGCTGCAACCTTGACATCTCGTGTTTCTATTCTCAAACCAAACCAAATTTATTGGGAAATTATTCTTCCCCAATCGTCATCGTTCCATGGAGTACCTGTTTTCCCACCTGAACTTTTTTTGTTAAAAAGTGAATCATTTTTTTTCTCCCCAAATGCTTATCAATATGTGTAGATATCTTTTTGCTTTTTAAGGATTCGATGTGCATGCATGTCTCAGATAATCTGTCTTGTACATGGTCGTGAATTCCGATCTGATCTGTTTGATTTTGTGCTATGATTGAGCAATCTGATGCATTACAATCAATGGTTTTTCGATCGATAGGTGGCTATAATTGAGCAATCGGTGAGCCCAGGTGGGGGAGCATGGCTAGGTGGACAACTCTTTTCGGCAATGGTTGTCCGCAAACCCGCGCATCTTTTCCTTGATGAGCTTGGTGTTGAGTACGATGAGAAAGACAACTATGTCGTGATCAAACACGCAGCTTTGTTCACCTCGATGACCATGAGCAAACTCTTGGCTAGGCCTAATGTGAAGCTCTTCAATGCCGTTGCAGCCGAAGATCTGATTGTGAAGGAAAAAAAGAGTTGGCTTTGGTTTCTATGAACCGTGACACGCAGTCTTGTATGGACCCTAATGTGATGGAGGCTAAAGTTGTGGTGAGTTCTTGCGGGCATGATGGCCCTTTTGGTGCTACTGGTGTTAAGAGGCTTAAGAGCATCGGGATGATTGACCATGTGCCCGGAATGAAAGCGCTGGACATGAATACAGCTGAGTAGGGGTGTTAACTGTCCGGATTGATAGCAATCCGTAACCAAACCATTCATTACGGTTTGAAAAATTTTTAATCTGTAACCGGACTGGATTGGTGTATAATCTGGACTAATCCAATCTGTTTTTAACGGTTTGGTTTGGGCGGATTGGCAGTTTAGGCTTCTGATTGGACCTTTTCAGTTTGAGCAAAAAATTAAACATTTTTTTGTTGTTGGACTTTTTTTGGGGGCTTTTTCTGATATTTTTTGGGCCTTTTTCAGCTTTTTTTTGGAGGTTTTTCTTGGGAAAAAAAAAATAGTCCATGGAGATTCGAACACACGACCTTCAGCAAGGTCTTATGTAGAGGAAATAACAACAATGTCAATAGGACAACTTAGCACTTTCAATATATTATTATTTTATAATATATACGGTCTGGTCCGGATTTACAGACGGTTTGAAAGTGCCAAACTGTAATCTCGAACGGATTGACTGATTTTCAATTTTTCAATCCGTCGATTTAAAAATATAATTATAATCCGTCCATTAATCCGAATCGATGACCGGATTGGGCGGATCCACGGATCTGAGCCAAACCGTGAACATCCCTACAGATGAGGATGCCATTGTGAAGCTTACAAGGGAAATTGTTCCGGGGATGATTGTTACTGGTATGGAAGTGGCTGAGATCGATGCTTCTCCCAGAATGGTATGTCAATTTTAGTCATTATCTCTGTCTTGCCATGATTTGAGAGTGGAAGTTATTTTTGTTGTCCCCTTCTTTCTTGGGATTAAAATCTTTGTCAATTCTCATTAAACAAGGATTAGGGTCGCTGTTCATGTTACGTGGCTAGTTCAAAGGATAAGTTTTCCCTTTTTCTTTCATCTTGCATTATTGTAGACATATGCGAGTGACATGGACTAGTAGCAGCAGGTTTTGTGTCGTTACATGGCCATTTTGTTCGTGTTGTGCCTTATTGTGAACATGTAAGTTTTTCGTGCAAGGATCGTAGACCATGTCATGCCCTTGTAGCGTGTCACAAATTGTCGCATTGGATAAAAGATTGTACTAGTTTAACCTCATAGTGGGATATTTGTTGATTTGCAACAGGGGCCGACATTCGGAGCCATGATGATATCGGGGCAAAAAGCAGCACATCTTGCTTTGAGGTCCCTGTGAATGCCTAATGTCTTGGATGGAACGTATGCAGGAAATGTTCATCCCGAACTAATTCTGGCAGCTGCTGATGCTTCGGAGACTGTCGATGCCTGAGCCTCAGTCTTCTTCTATCAATTTGCAGCAAAGAATGAAGAATCATGGAGTTGGAGTCTGCTGCTCTTTTGTACATAGCTTAAATAATGTAGGATCATCGGGCATGGAAGTCTTGATAGTTAAGTGGTTTGTTTTCTTCTTCGGGAAAACTTTTGGTTTAGAATGTTGCTCGTGTGTTTGTGGAATAGGATTAAGTACAGTATTGAACTTGGTGCGCTTTCAGTATCTTTCTTAATGGAGTAGTTACTAATCTGTTTTTGAATTTACTTCTTCATTCAATAATTTTTTTTTAATACAGTTAAAAGTTAGCGTCTCCACCTAGTAGAAAAAAGAAGTGGTGTTGTTGATACCGTTAAAAACTGTATTTTGACCCGTCGACGAGACATACGAGCCAAACAAATGACAATGGAGTCCTAAATAAATATTTCTCACCCAAGGCTATTTGGTTATCCACCAAAGACATAAACTTAGACGTTTTACAAGTGATTAAATTATGTAAACTACAGTATGTGAATTTTTATTATAAAAATTGCCAAATTGTATTATGTATTACAGAATGATCAGTTGTTGAGACGAGATTGGGACGTGAAACTTAGGCATGTGTTCCGAGATGCTAATTTCGTGATTGATTATCTGGTTTCATTAGCTACACAAGGATCATGCGGATTATATAGATTTGAGATTCCACCATAAGGAGTGCAACCATGGTTGAAACATAATGTAATAGGAATTGTCTATTTTCGAAATGTACTAAGTGGATCTTAGGCTTTCTGCCTCCTTCTTTATAACAAAAAAAAAAAAAAAAAAAAAAAAAACATGAGTTGCCGACTCAATCAATAGAGTTACTCCTTCGTTCTCAAAAAAAAAAAAAAGAGAGAAAAAGTTACTCCTTCGTCCCAAAAGGGTTTTAACTGAAGAGAAAAGGCTGATGTAAGTGACGTAAAGTTAAAAGTCCAAGCCCAGCATCCACCAGAAAACAACCCAAACAAAAATTGATATGGACTCTAGACTCTCAGCCCAGTTATATACTACTCTCTGTCCCTGGCTACCGCGACGAGTGGACGTTGAGCTAAACGACATCGTTGCATGTGCGTTGATCACAAAACATCACAAATTCGCATGGAGATTAGCAAAGGGGAACTAGAAATGTTCATTCATTTTTCCCTCTTAAACTGAAACTCACCGAATTGATTCAAAGGGAGATTATCTTCTGTCAAACTCCTGAAGTTTAAGTCCTAAATCCTCATACGATCGAAGGAGCAGATCTCTGTGCTTAGCTAACTGTTGTTCATTAGAGAGCTACTCTGTTCGTAGCGGTGGAGAAATCTGCTTCGTGCCCTAAAATTTCTTCTGTGGGTCTGTTCAATTGATTGCAGAAAAATTAGTGCAAATGGAGGACATATTTGTGGCATTACTTTCTATGTTTCTTGTCTTGGCTTTAGTGCCTCTGTATCTGTGGAAACGCCGACTTGATTCTCGCTCTCCGGATCAACCTCATGAGGAGGAACCTCAGGTTTTCAATACTTGGCTTCTCTGTATTCATAATTGATTTCAATTTGAATCCGAATGTTCGCACGATGTTGATTTTTATTGGTTTTGTCGGTTTGAAATATCCAGGTGAGGCAAAGGGAAGCGGTTGTGAGGGGCGGTGCGGCACGCCGGATGCGGAGAAGACCTGCTGGTGCTTCTTCTTCTGGCGCTAGCTCATCCTCGGCTGCCGCTGCTGTTGAAGGTTCTTTTCCCCCTCAATTTGCGATTTGAGCTTTCTTGAATGACTATACCACCAATATAGTTTGTACTAGTTAGTTATGTAAGCAGCTCTTCCGTTTTCAATGTGGATGCAGAAAAAGATGATGAGAGTGATAATGAAGATGCTGGTGAGAACGGTTACTATGCTGCTAAAGGTTCGAAGAAAAAGGAAAAGAAAAGGCAAGAGCGTGAAGCTCAGCGGCAGGTGCTGAAATTTTTGGCATTTGTCTGTTTCTTCTACTAATTGTTATTGATTGGATATTGCATGAAGAAGGTTTTATCCTTTTTTGATTGATTCAAACTACACGTATGGGTCAGTTTGTTAGGCACCGCGCCTTGCTCCCTTAGGTTTCTGTTCTCTAACTGTTTTATTAAGGCTGATTATTATATTACTTTAAAGGCTGATGAGGCAGCCCGTGAGTCTAGACGAACAAAACAAGATCGCTATGAAGAGATGAGGAGGAGGAAGGATGAGGAACGAGAAGCTCTTGAGCTTAAGCTGGTTAGTTGATTGATAATTGTTTGGGATTCTGAGAAATTCATGAGGTGATTTTCAATCTGAAATGTTTAAATGTTGTTTATCCAGGAAGAAGAAGCCAAAGCTCGGAAAGCTAAGGAGGAAGAAGCTGCTGCCCTAGAATTTGAAAAATGGAAAGGAGAGTTTTCAATTGATGAAGAGGGTACAACAGCAAATGAAACTGAAGATGGAAACCAGGATTTACTTTCAGGTTTTGTGGATTACATTAAGGTACTTCTCTTCGTCCTGTTTTTCAAGTTCTTTGAGGTTGGTTTGATAATGCCGTGGATAATGAAGTTAATATACTTAATGTACACAAAATAAGAAGTATGCATGATAGTCTGATACTATACTTGTCCGAGCTAACGGTACCGATGAAGACTATCTTTTCTGGTGATCGATCGTTAGAAGCCATGTAAAAGAAATTATAAGGGATTGTCAAAAGTGGTTCAAGAAATTGATTATACTTTGGTCTGTGAGCAGAGATGGTTTTTATAATCATCTTTCTCTTTGTTCTTGCAGAATCAGAAATGCATTCCTTTGGAAGATCTTGCTGCAGAGTTCAAATTAAGAACTCAGGTATGGCGATTGTTCATATTCTTATTTCCTCCACTTAGACAAAGGTGCAGGATGAAACTGACTTGTTCGATTCCTTTAAATGGACTGGATATCTGTGCATTTATTTACTTACATAAAGAATGAAATAACTCAAAGTTGGTCAACTTGGCTCTGTTTTCGAACATTCTAATGATTTATATAGATTTCATCTGCCTGTACCTAGCTTTTGATTTTTCCATTTCATTTTCATTCAGGAATGTATTAATCGGATCACTACTCTGGAGGACATGGGTATGTTTTCCTCTCATTATTATTTAGTTCAACAATGCTATATTTGGGCTTATTAGCGTCATTTTTCAAACTAATGTGATGCCGGCCATCAATTTTAGTTTGAAGTAGGTTAGGCAATAAAACCATAGAAAATATTAATAATGATACATGTTTCCTATATATCAGGAAGATTATCTGGAGTCATGGATGATAGGGGCAAATACATATACATTTCACAAGAAGAGATGAATGCTGTTGCCGATTATATTAAGCACCAAGGTCGAGTCAGTATCTCACATTTAGCCAGCAAGTCCAACCAGTTCATAGATTTGGAGCCAAAATCCCAGTTTGTAGCTGACATGAGTGGTGCAGATGAAATAGCGGTTGCTTGATACTGTAATCTGTGTAGATTTGAGAAAAAGAAGGCCACCCTTTTTTTAGGTGTTATAAATATAAACCAATGATGTTCTCTTCTTCTTTTCTTTTTTATTAAAGATCTTTTTGAGTTTACAAATAGTTAAGGAAAAGGGAAAAAGAAGAAAATTTGCAAAACATCTTCCTTTCTTTTCTGTGATTTGTTAAATATTTACTTTATTAAAGCAGGACTTACGTATATATGAGAGTAAATTAGTTTTCTATTTTTGGTCATAAACAAAACAAGAAGCAGCTTATTGTTTTTTTCACTCCCGATTCAAACGGGCAAAGTAGAGGAAGAAAATGTATATGAATTGGTCGCATTGACTAGTTTCTCATTTTAATGGCATCTTGTTAACTAGTTTAACTAATGGTCTCATAAATTGTCATCTTCCTTCATCTCTGAAAAACCTTTTTTCCATTTTTTTTTTTTTTGCCTATCACCTCCTACGCCGTGTGTTTCCCACGCGGCATTGGCCGGTGAACGGTGATTATTTTACACAAACCATCTCTCCACCCTCCTCCTCCATTTGCTTTCTTCTTTTGGTTCGCTATTAGCGATCATTTTTCAACCCTTGATAGTTTTTTAAGAAAATAAGAAAACAATTGAATAAGAACACAAGAAAAATCCAACCCACAGATGAGAAGAAATTCTAGAATGAATGTTACATGGAAAACATTGTCGAACGTTGTTGTCCTAATTCTGTTATGCCGTAGCCTTGTTACATGTTACGCACAGTTTGGCGCAGACTATGACGATACGCCGTCGGCTCCACCACCGCCCAAGGAAATGGAGAACTGCAACGGTATCTTTATAACTTATTCTTTTAATGGAAGGGATAAGCTATACCCCCACGTGAAGAATGCATCGGCGCAGGCGTGGTCATTCCAATCCGTGATGACTGTATTGAATGTGGGGACTGTTGAGCTGAAAGCATGGAAGGTATATGTTGGATTTCAGTACAACGAGCTGTTGGTTTCGGCCGATGGGGCTATAGTTGTCGAAGGTGATGGATTTCCTTATCAAGTGGGAAAGAATGGAACAGTTTTCGCAGGTTATCCCATGTCTGATCTGAAGACAGCCATTGAAACAGCAGGAGATTATCCTTCCATGCAGGTTCAGATCATGATTAAAGGTACCCAATTTGGATTGAAGAAAGGTAATCCTATGCCGAAAACCATAAGATTGGCAAACGAAGGCTACATTTGTCCGAAAGCAAGGCACACAGGTATTCATCTCTCCATACTTATCATGTACTACGTACAGATATATGTTTATATTTGATCAAACCTTTTTATTTTACCATGACTTGCAATTTTTCACATCTTACGCGAAATTTTTTTTATCATGCATTATTATCATGGCTGCAGATGTTCTTGTTAGGATTAATGGGGACACCATATCTATTGTTGAGGTGTATTAAGATTCATTATCTGTAGATTGTTGCCGTTTAAAATTCGAGAGCATGCATAATAAAGAAGACATTTTGATGTTACTGCTGCCCCTAATGATTTGAAGAGGTGTTTCCTAGAGTTCAGAACTTATGTACAATGCAATTATGTTCTTATGGCGCAATGCTTATTTGATTTGCAGCTAGCTATATGGACGTTTGTTGCGTCAGGGATCCAAAATACAAGCCGAAGGTTGTTAAAACCAAATTCATGCCTCGCCAATATGGTGACCTTAATATGGTATATGATGTGATGCAAGCCTATGATAACAAGTATTTGGCTCAAGTCACAATTGATAACATCAACCCGCTAGGTCGTCTAGATCGTTGGAATTTGACTTGGGAGTGGATGAGGAATGAATTTATAAACACTATGAAGGGAGCCTACACTCACAAGAAGGATACTTCTGATTGTGTTTACGGCCCCCAGGGGAAATATTATGCGGACTTTGATTTCAGCACTGTGATGAGCTGCAACAAGAAGCCGATCATCTCTGATTTGCCTCGTGAGAAGAAGGATGATGAGAAGGTTGGAAAGTTGCCATATTGCTGCAGGAATGGTACTATTTTGCCCACTATAATGAATGAGACCGAGGCAAGGACCATTTTCCAACTTGAGGTTTTTAAGCTTCCACCAGACATGAACAGAACGGCTCTTACTCCACCTCAGAATTGGCAAATTACCGGTCTTCTGAATCCAACCTACAAATGTGGCCCTCCTATTAGGGTTGATCCCACAGAATTCCCGGATCCCAGTGGACTTGATACCTCAACAGAAGCCATTGCAAGTTGGCAAGTAACTTGCAACATTACTCGTCCCAAGCCTAAGGAAAATAAGTGCTGTGTTTCTTTCTCAGCTTACTATGCTGATTCCGTCATCCCCTGCAATACTTGCGCTTGCGGATGCCAGCAGCCAAAATCTCAATGTGATGCCAATGCTCAGTCATTGCCACTTCCTCCTCAAGCCTTACTTGTACCATTCAATGATAGAGCCAATATATCACAGGCTTGGGCTCACGTGAAGGGATTCAAACTCCCAAAGAAGTCACCCTGTCCGGATAACTGTGGGGTGAGCATTAACTGGCACATTGACTCTGACTACAGGAATGGATGGACTGCAAGAATGACCCTTTTCAACTGGCAAGAAGACGTTTTTGAGGACTGGTTCACTGCAGTTCAATTGAAGAGAACCGGCGCTGGTTTTGAAAAGGTATACTCTTTCAATGGCACATTACTGCCTAAAACGAATAACCTCATTTTCATGAAAGGTTTACCTGGATTGAACTTCTTAATGGGAGAGGTAAATGGGACTCGCCCCAAAGATCCTAGAGTCCCTGGTAAACAGCAATCCGTGATTTCATTCACCAAGAAAGCCTTGTCCGATATCAATATAGCTAAGGGTGATGGGTTTCCTACAAAAGTATACTTCAATGGTGAAGAATGTTCACTTCCAACAAGGTTACCGCAGAGATCAGCTGGGGTATATCAAGCTACATTTAACTTGTTGCCAGCAATTTTCGTCGCAGTCCTTACTTTCTTGCTATTGTCAAACTGAAGCATATGGAGAGTTTCTACTAGCAATGTTGCTCCAATACATAAAACGGTATCATCTTTTGCAGACACTTTTCTTGTGTTTCTATTTTTGGTCAATTACTGATTTTAATCCTCTCTTTTTCTTTCTTTTTATTTTTATTTTCTATGGTTCAGCATTAGAGGCAACTGACGTGGGCTTGGCTTGGTAGATATAATTCCTCAAGAGTTTTCTTCATCTGATTCTTTGATGAAGAAGATAAAGTTGTAAAGATTAGACAGAAAATATCACAGTGTTTTGAATGCTCAGATGATTGGACTGCTGCTAGATATTACTATATACAAACCATGACCATGCATTTCATTTTCTTTTTCCCCCCTGAGCAAGTTCGTGCTAGATAATTTTTTTGGCTTTTTTCTTTTTCATTTTAGTCCCAAAAGATCTGATTCCATTTGGCCACTGTCCACATTTGGTGTTGACAGATTATTGAAATTACTAGACTCCCTCCATATTGAGGAATCATGTAATTCAGGGCAAAAAAGAAAAAAAAAAAAAAAGAGAGGTAAAAGGAAATCTGAATTGGATTTTCCCTTGGACGCTTTAGTTCTCCTTCAAGCACTCTTGAAACGCCCTATCTCAATCTAGTTTTATGATTAAAAAATATTGTAGTTGGACCAATATATTTCGAACAGCATGTTTTCTTTAAACTTTGTGAATCTTTAACAAGGATCTAAGCTCACTCCCCCAATATAAATATTGGCTAGTCTTTATAAATTGAAAGGACGCTTTGTGTTTATTCAGCGTGATTCGATCATAAAAGGGCGATGAAATCCATTGAGATAGCAATTTTCAAAGAGAAAATGATATTAATTGTCATAATTTTCGCATCATTTCGCGGTGTCTCTCGATCTGGAGCGCGCATTTGGAAGGCCTCCGCTAGGTGCCAGTCTGGCCGGAGGCGAGCCTCCAGCTGCCCCTGCTGTGGCGGCAGCTATAGCAGCGTTCACTATTTCCATAACGGCCTGACAACGGCAATTCTCGTCCATTTTCTTGAACTGCTGACAGCAAGGAATCAATGCAAGCTCAGTAGGCCACTTCTGAGATATAGACTTCAAGCAGTAGCCAAACTCTGGGCTACCTTGTATCACATCTTTACACTGATCCCCATCGTTTGTTTTATCGTCGTCGATGGTAGGTTTGGTTTCAACTTTAGTGCCGCTTGTCCAGGCATTGATGGTCAGCAAGAAGATTGCCAGAATGAACAAGGGATATGAACATTTGAGGCGGTAACGGTGATCCATTTTCACAAATTTCAGCAGACGAGATAGGTAGACAGAATTGAGGAGTGAAGAGTTTTTAGCTTCCACGAAATTTACTCGCAAGTGATATATGCCAATGCCATTAAAGAACATTTATAGATGAATTTGAAGCTGTCTTACTTTTTGGGTCCTTACTAAATGCACTCTTTGTCATGTTCTCATATGGTCGCAAATTTACATAATCTATCTCTGCCATTACACTTGAATGAACAAGCATTTCCAAAATTGATACCAATCCGTAATTCTACTAGAGCAAGAGTGAAGATTAGGTTGAACTAAAACATATATTGACTGATTAAAGATCACATCTTGAAAACCGCAACTCATACATTGGCACACAACTAGGAAATAGAAGACAATACATGCCTAAGACATAGCAACCAAACAACGAGAAAAAAAAGAAAAGCATTACCAGGACTGTAAAGACACTACGATTTCCTCTAAAATCTACATTGACCTTCAAACAGGACTAGGCTTTCCAGAAAATGCTCAGCATAGATTGAATAGTGAGTGCCAAAAATGTCGAGATCCTTAACTGCTCCGCTATTGTGCATATCAAATGAAACCAGCACTTTACTTGAGGGATCATTGAGAAATAGTTCATCCACAGTCATAGGTGCCAAGCAATGACCATTATTTCTAAATCCGATCACTCTCTCAATCCCTTCTACCAACTTAAATTTTAACAAATTTTCCCAAGACTTCACATTTCCATATTCCTTCATCACCCAAAGGTTGCAAAAACCTCTGAATTCATCAGTCATCAACACAGCTAGACAATCATTGTATGAAAGTTCCCTTAACAATCCAGGATGTGCGGTTGCTAAATCGTCTGGGAAAAAGACCTCACTAAAAGTCTCATCCTTCAAATCAAACCCCAAATAATGGTGAAGTGAGCTTTCCTCATCACAATCCTTCCAATGCACAATCCCATTTATGAGCACCGGTGCTGAGGGAGAGATAACAAGATGACGGCGGATAGGAACAATAGCCACTTTCCTCCAACGTTTTGAGCTGAGCGAATACACCTCAGAAGCCCAAACACCATCATTTCCACTCAGAAGTACATTTCTGACCACTTTATAATCAAGCTGCTGCAAATCACAACCAAAGCCAAGGGTGATATCTCGTGAATAGGGTTCAATATTGGGTATTGGTAACTCTATCCACCTTCTGATACTAGGGTTCCAAACAAAAATGGGGTTTGTCGTTCCATGCTCTGCATCACACAAGCAAATCAACCCATTGCAGCTGCCTACAATAGTGTAATAATCGGAACGGGATCTGCGGGGAAGCTCAATTTCCGAACTTTGAAGGACAAAATCATCATTATCCGGGTGCAATGTGTAATGCTCTTGTTTTTCAGTTACAGAGTAATACCGAGTGAGAATAGATTTGGGTCTTCGAATCTTGATCCTAGCAAGATGATTTGAGATAAACCTAGAACTTGTGATGAGGGAATACCAGGATTTGGAAACTTTGGTGAATTTCACCAGGTACTCGGCTGGAACCCGGACGAGGATTTCAATCCAGATGTCTTCCGGAAAATTGATCTCCATTGCGGTATCTGAGAGATCAGCTTCCGCCATAGAGACGACCTCCAAATCTCCCAAGTTATTTGTGATCTTTTGTGATCAATGTCTGAATTTCACTGGTGAACTGGGTGTGTCGGTGTTATTGTACGGCGGGAAGAAGATAAGGAGACGACAATTGGCGTGGTGGATGAAAGAAGAGCGTCTGAATTGTGATATACTGATACGTATTCGTAATTTCGTCTGATTAGATTTTTCTTTTTATTTTTTCGTCTAAAAAAGAAAACAAAAAGGGCCACAGAATTAAAGGTCCAGAACGAAACGTCCAATCCAATAACTGAGAAAAAGGGCCAGTCCGTGGACGAAAATCGGAGCCCAAGGAAGGAAGTAATCCCAAAGCTATAAACGGGTAGCTTGCCGGGGGATGAAAATCTCAAAGCACATCGCAGCACCAGCCATAGAACAAGCATCAATATGGTATAATATTTCCGAAGAACTCACGACTCAAGTTGTGATGATGCAAAATAAAATCGAGGACATATGTAACATTTGGGTGATGAAGGAATATGGAAACTCGAAATATTGTACCATGGCTGAGTTGTCATTGATCACTGCACTTGACATACCAATACTGATTTGTTTATGCTTTTCTGGCTTCAGTAGCTTAGAATACACAAATCTTAAAGTTGGTGGTGGATCCAACATCAAGATACCACTTCTTTCTGGCTCATAAACCTCATTAAATTCCATAAGTAATTGCATCACTTTATCCTTCATATCTCGTTCCTGAATCTGTTCTTTCAGTACTCCAGTAGCTACCAATGATGGTCTAAACTGAGCTAATTGATTTCAGAGATGCCTAAATTTACTATAATATTGAGGAATGGTTAAATCACCTTGCCTCATCACAGAAACATCACGTTTTAATTCAAAAACCATAGAAGAGTTACAAACACCATACGTCTGCTCATCCCACAATTCCTTTGCATCATTCACAAATTGAAAATCTACAGTAATCTCAGGAGATAAAGCATTCTTAATCCATGACAGTATCATACTATGAACACGTCTCCATTTCTTGTAAATTGGAAACCTCACATCAGGTATTTCACACGATCCATCAACAAAACCATACTTATTCTTAGATTCTAATGCAATAATCATAGCATTACGCCAAATCAAGTAATTTTTACCAGTAAAAGGGCAATTAACTATCACAGAAGATGGAGTTTTCGATCCATGAAGTTGCAATTCATTGTCTGGATCAAAAAATTGCATTCACTCCCTCGAAATCCTCTGGTGTTCATCCTCATCAAAATCGTAGTTTCTGACCATATTTCACAAATCCGAACCGTAGATGTACTTAGCAAAGAAAGTGCAACAAAACCTGCTAACTTTTAGATGTGCGGAAGTAATGGCAGAGCAGAATTTAGTCCTGCTCTGATACCATCTTACAGAGTAGAAAATTAGGGTTCATAGAATTTGGGAAAAAGTTTTTCCATATTTCGTCAATCTGTTAAAAACTGTAAACTGTCTCTTAAATCAATACTAGGGGAAGGGGTTGCACGTTGTGCAGCGAAAGGGGAGTGGTAGTCCCGTATTTTTCTCATAAGTTACTGTTGAGATAAAGATATAATAGTTCCTAGAAACTACAATTCTCTCTCAACAATATTGCAAGTGGTAGGAAATGAAAGCCAATTCAACACTAATAGAGTTTTGTAAAAGTAATTTTTTGAGATAATAAAGTACTCTGATACAGCATGCCCTATGATGCTATAAGTTCAGTCACTTTTTATATATAATCTCAATAGATTGTACCATCAAAAACTGAAGTCTAATTTTGATGACTCTAGTTTGAAGTGAAAGCATTCCTCTGTATCACCAGCAAAGGAGCAAAGAAGCCTACACATCCTGCCAAAGTTCCAGCATCACAAGTGCAAATATCTCCCTCATGTACGCAGGAAATTCCTATCATAAACCATTAACTGTCAAATGAAAATAACTCAGAAAATTTACTCTCAGTCAGTGTGCTAAAGCGAAATTGAATGAATTGTCAGAGTTGAACAATCTAAATTCATGAGAAAGCAGAGCTTGAAGCCAATTCAACTTTATGCCTAATTTTTGCTCCTAATATATCAAAGGCAACATGAGATCTTCATTTGGCAGCGACAAAGCAAAGAACTAACGTAAATGTCCTCATTAAATAGTCTTAAAGGGAAAAATAAAAATTTGACAGTAAGCCGACCATCATAATTTAGAACATTTGTGCTTATAAGAGCTCAAAAAATCTTGAAACATGAATTCACTTTGTAGGAACTTACAAAACCTAAAAATACCAGGGGATTGAGAATTTTTACATCAGATTACAGATATTCACTTCAGAGTTCAGATAGAAATAAATTAGAGATATAGAACACATTAAAGACAAGGTATGATTCTCTATTCCACAGCCACTCAAGATGAAAACTAATGAATTGAATGTCCTGATTGCATTTTCAGAGGTAAAAAACCGAACACTTTACATGTTGAAAATTTTAAACTATCCGAAAACCTTAGGAAAACAGAATCTTAAAGCTGAAAGGTTGATATTTTTGTCAAGTTCACATAACACTCGTTCAGATTTAAAACCCAACACCTAACATGTGGCTAAAACACAAGCCAAAATATAATCCATCTTTATACTCTATTACAATCCCACTCTAATATTAAGCAAAAACTCGTCGTAATTTTACTTTTAACCTTCAGTCTATTTTCTTCAAACAAGAGATGAACATTAGCAGTAAAACTATCAGTACCTCCCAGAAAAAGATCACAACGCTCAACCAAAAAACTACATCTTTTCTATTTATCAAATAATGACTTCAAATTTCACAAAGCTAGATGCAAATCATTCCAACTGAAACCCATGAAAGTAAAAAGAGGAGAAACTCCCTAAACTATGAATTTACAAAATTATATACTTACATGTTGTCACAATGAAACTGTTATGTATATAGTGTCAAAATTATTCTAACAGGTAGATCGTACTTAAATCAATCAGCACAAACCCACTTTTTAAACGGTAAGAAACAGAACAAGCTTTTAGTTTATGGAAGTTAAAACCAAATATAAGCTTAGCAAAAATCAATAAAGAGAATAGAAAAATTTATGGACTGAAAGTTACTTGTATCAATCACCTGTAACAAACTACAAAGATTTAATGACCCAATAAAACCAATAAAACTACAAAGATTTAATGACCCAATAAAACCACTGTAGTTGGCATTCAAAAGAGGGAAAATCCTTTATTGTTGTTTCGACTCAATTTTTAGACCCATATAATCGGTTCTAGATCTAACCAAAGGTCAGCACAGACAGAGAATTTTATAGCTGAATATAGTGGGCTAAAATCAAGGCGACCTTCATATTTGGAACAACACTCGAAAATTAACCTTACCTACCTGGGTCACATTTGGAAGAGCAAATAATAAACCGAAAGCTTCTTCATCTGACGGCTACGATGATCACAAAGAGATAATGAACCGGAAGTTTGTTTTTTAAGAGCGTCAAACAGGTATCAAATTCCAGCTCCTCCACAGAGATGATTCATGATTATTATTGATTGGAGTAGTATTGAAGCAGCAGAGGAAAGTGGTGGTCCAAGTCTCACACGCTTAATCATAAGCATACGCTTACATGAAAACATGGTGGAATTTTTGAAATTGAGACAAATAATTGTCCCTGATGGGTTCTCAGTGAGTAGAATTCGTTAAGAACAAGACTCGAACACTTCGTGTGCAAGTGCAACTCATAAAACCAAAACTCAAGTTCAATTCCAGTTCCAAACCCCCACCACTAAGAAATCCATTAAACTCTAACCTTAAAATTTTCTAAGTTCTGATCATCAACCCACTAATTTAATAAAATTTAGTTTAGCATGGATAGACTGAAGACACTGGATTTGAACCAAATCAAATAAAATTTGAATCAAATAAAATTGCTAATCTTACCGTTGCTGCTTCGTTAACCTTGGGTCTGCTAATTCTATACGTGGCCGCTGCCAAAAAGAGATGCCGAATGCTGTCGGTAGTAGTGAGATTTCTATATCGATTCCAAGAAAAAGAAAAGAATAATTTTGAGAAGAGAAACCAAAGACGGAGAGATTTTGCCTATCAATTTGGCCGTCCCAATTATGTTATGGAGAGTTGTGATGGCGAGAGAAGACAAAAGGACAACCGGAATGAGCAGCGGAACGCCACATGGAAATCGGGTATCCAGTAGAAGGAGAACACGTGTCTGAATTTGGACGGGCCACCAGACCTAAACAGGCCCCTCCCCTGTGAACTGTCCCTTTATATATTATAGACTAGTGATGTCTGGTTGCGCAATACGCGACCCTGGCCCAGTATATCTGTAGATCTTAGAAATATTTGTATTTGAAAAAAAAATATTTTGTATTTGGCCCGATATATTTTAGAAATGTTTGAAGAATTTAAAAATATTTTATAAGTGTGATCATAGAAATGTTTGTATTTGGCAAAAAAAAAAAAAAGAAATTGTATTTGGCCCGGTACGTTGTAGAAATGTTTGAAGATTTTAGAAATGTTTTATAAGTGTTACTTATTAAATATAAATAAACTTGATCAAATATATGTCTTGAAGTAAATGTTAGACAAAATATAAAAGCATCCTAATAAGTTTAAATATTAGTAAGATGATTTATTGATATTCTCCGTTTGTCGTGCCAAATTAATACATAGTTTTGGAAATTTATAATAGTTTTGTAGTAAGCTTCATCCGAAGGGTATGCGTTTAATTGTTGGCACTGTTTCTTCTAAAGGTTTATATGTAGTAAAATATCAAAAATATCATTTCAAAATTGGTTAATTGTTGAAACTGGTTGATTACAAATATGAGAATGAATATTAATGTAAATTTGCATAGGTTTCAAGTTATAGAAAAAAAAGAACTCACCTCACCATTGCAAATAAAAAAAAAAGTAAGTAAAAGAGCCTATTAAAAATTGAGAAATTATTTTTTTCCTGTAGGTAAAAATGATGTATAAAAACACAAATAAACGTAGAAACATCATTCTTTCCCTCTCCACCTCAAATTCATATAAGGCTTTCTCATAAATTAGTTAGAAGAAGCGACCTGAACTATTTATATGATGAGGAACTCAAAAAAAAATCCAAAAACCAAATCCAAAAAATTATATTCTTGAAAGCCCGAACACAAAAAAAAAAAAACGTGCTTCATTTGCAAATAATAATAATAATAATAATAATTGGTCAACTGGGAGTATGAAACAAAATCAGAAGCAATTAAACAAAGAAAAAACACAATTCATAACTGACCATATACGGAAAAAAACTGAGACTCCATAATAAAAAAAAGAAAACTACTCTAATTGAATGAAACATAAAAAAAGAAATTAATAAAACCACACTTTGTAACAAAACCCAATTGATCAATTCAATCCAAACAGAACTAAAATCATACAAAAATTCTAGGCCAACTAACCATATAAGAAATCATATCATATTACCTGGCAACGGCTATGGTAGCTGTAACGGGTGGACGCATAAAATAAAAATAATAATAATAACACTATTCTTGAACGGAAAAAACAAAAAATAATAAAAGTCGTACAAATGATCTATGGATATAAAATTATTTGAATTTTAATATCTGTAATGGTACCACCACGACGGTCGAAGTAAGATCAATGAGAAATTATTATTTTTTCCTTTGTGTTTATATAAAGAGGTAAAGAGAATGTTTTTTAAAATCAAAATTTTATCCGATTAGGATGTAGTTGATCATCACTAATGAAAAGATTGAACATGTTAATAGGAAAGGAGTATATTTCACCACATATTCTCAATTGATGATTGATGAGAAATTTGTTTTTTTTTTTTTTGTGGAGAAGGGATTAATTAGGGAGTCGATTGTCGTGGAGATGGGGATGATGATTTGGGTTTTTTTTTTTTTTTGTTTTGGCGAAAATAGGAGGTGGTAGTAGATTTGGAATGCATTTGCCTTTTAAGTCTAGGAAACTGATGTGTAAATAAAAAATTATTTTAAAAATATGATGTGCAAATGCCGCATGAAATTTTTTTTTTTATTTTGGCGAAAATAGGAGGTGGTGGTATATTTGGACTGCATTTGCCTTTTAAGTGTAGGAAACTGATGTGTAAAAAAAATTTATTTTAAACATATGATGTGAAAATTTCACATGGTAAATGGTGGTGCTTTCTTTTAAGTGTGATTTTTGTTTCTAATATAGTAAGATATATACTCACGCTAACTGACTAAGTCAAAGTACTCTAACTCTTTAGTATTTACACAACAGTCCCTGCATTCTAATCTATTGTACAAAACTAACTATTACAGAGGTGACTAATATAACCGAAAGTCTAAAACTTGATTTACTTGATTGATATCATGAATGACAACCTGAGCAGACTCTGTGATTTACTCAACAGGAATCATGGGAAAAGTTGTATGTTTGAGACGGTAAAATGGATCAGTAAAGTGATTGCCTGGCCATGAAGGATCAGAGGTTGGTTTCATTTGATCATCAGAATAGTAATAAAACACTGAAGCATTTTAGGGTTGGTGGTGCTGAGGACTGGAGTGAAGCTTCACATTTCCTGGAAAGTCTAATGCTGCTTGAAGGTCAATGCAGAGTTTAGATAGACTGATAGAGGTTTCTATTCTACTGAGAAATAAACTTTTTATAAATTATACTATATTCCTTCCATTGTATTGTAGTAGTCTACTTTGTAGGAGTTAATGATAAAATAGGGATGAAGAGAATATCAATCATTTGATTTTTCGCTAATTTGTGAACGAATCCTGTTGATTTGAGTTGGATATGGACAGATAAGGCACAATTGGTTTATTCTTTTAAAAAATTGGGAAAGAAAAAACACAAAGAAAGAAAGGGAAAAAAACAGTTTAGTAGTGTGGATTATGTCAGGGTATTTGGTGTCATCGTTTCGGAACATAATACTATGATGGCCTCGTGATGAATTCTTTAAGGAGCAGCCAGATTCGGAGATTACATGTACATGGTAGCAAAATGACTCGAGAATATGAAGGAATACAGCTTTGGTGGCATTTTGAGGGTACCGTTTTCTTCATATAGACTTGAAGCAGTAGCCAAATTCTAGGTTACCTTGGATGACAGCTTGCCACCGATCCTCATCATTTGTTGTCTGGTCGTCCATTTTTTCTTGGTTTCACTTGCCCCCGCATTGATTGTCAGCAAGACGATCGCCTGAATAAACTGGGGGGAATGAACTTTGAGCTGGTGATAAAGGATCCTTCTTCATCAATTTATACAGACGGAATAGGTAGACTAGATTGAGGAGTGAAGGTGGGTTCGCGATACATAATCCTCAATGTTTCTTGAAGATTGTAAAGCTTCCACAACATGTACATTCATATGACCACGAAAGTAAATAGTTGGATGAATTAGAAGCTGTTTTTAACTTTGTGGTCTTTTTTACAGTAACCGCACTACTTGCCATTTCATCATATGCAAATCAGTATCTATCTTTCCTGTTACCCTCGAATGAGAAATGTTCTTCCAAACTTGTAAATTTACTGCTATGACTCAGTCTAATAAAGGCCACAACCATCACTATTATTAGATTCAGTTTTCAAAACTACAATTCACTAGCTGACATACTAACCAGTGTCGAATGTTCTTCAATGACAAGTATTTCTACTGGTGCAAGAACGAAGATCAGGTTGAACTAAAGCATAAATTGATTGATTAATGAACGCAACTTGAACTACAACCAATGTATTGGTATCAACTAGGAACCAGACCACAATACACGACTGAGACATAACAATTGAACTACGAGAAAAAGCACTTAGAAGGACAGTAGTGAATGCACTGCCATTTTCCTCTAAAATCTACATCGGCCTTCAAGTAGGACCAAGCTTCCCAGAAAAGGTAAAGCATAGATTGAAAACTCTGTGCCAACAATCTCAAGATCCTTCACCGCTCCGCTATTGTTCGGATCAAATGAAACCAAGGCACTTACTTTACTTTCGTTTCCAGGCCTCATAGCCACAATTTCATCCACAGCCATCATACCCTTGGTTGCCAGGCAATGACCAGTCTGTCTCAATCCGATCACTTGCCGAATCCCTTCTTCCAACTTAATCTTAAACAACAGTTCCCAAGACTCCACATTTCCATATTCCTTCATCACCCAAATGTTGCAGTAGCCATTGAACTGATTATAACTGGATATATGATCACATTCTGATACAGCAAGACAATCCTCATGTAAAAAATGCCACAACTTGAAAAGATGTTGCCAAGTTATATGTTGAGGCAAAAAAATCTCGCTAAAAGTTTCATCCTTAAAATCGAACCCCAAATATACGATGCGTAAGCGTTCCCCATCAAGAACCAGCCAATGAACAATACCATTAACGAGCACCGGCGTTGAGGAACCAGTAATATAACCATGGCGGGAAGAAACAATAGGCACTTTCATCCAACGTTTTGAGTTGAGCGAATACACTTCAGCAACCCCACCAATTTTTTCTTCAACTACATATCTGACCACTTTATAATCAAGTTGCTGCAAATCACAACCAAAACCAAGGGTGACATATTTTGAATAGGGATCAATATTTGGTAAAGGTAACTCTATCCACTTTCTGATCGAAGGGTTCCATACAAAAATTGGTTTTGTGCAAGTTCCATTCATATTACCCCTCAAGCAAATCAACCCATTGCAGGTGCCTACAATAAGATAACCCCAATCACGGGAACGGGATGCCGGTGGAAGCTCGAGTTCCGAACTTTGAAGGATGAAATCATCATTGTCTGGGTGCACCGAGTAACGCTCTTGTTTTCCGCTTTTAGAATACCGCCGAACGAGAATGGATTTGGAGCATTCAATTTGGACTCTGGCGAGATGAGTTTTGATAAACCTAGAACTGGTGATGAGGACATACCAGGATTTGGAGACTTTGGTGAATTTGACGAGGGATTTGGCCGGAACCCTTTGGAGGATTTCGAACCAGAGATCTTCAGGAAAATCGCCCCAGATTGTGGGTTCCATTGTGGTATCCGATAAAGTAGCTTCAGCCATGGAAAAGGAGACCTCCAACCGTCCAACTCTCCAACTTCGATGTGGAATTTTTCTTTTTTTGATTACCATTTCTGAATTAGGGAAAAATATGGGCAACAAAAATGTGAAATATTGTCAAGCCCTTTTGAGTTCGAACTGATATAGATTTGTTGTAAATGGAGGGTTTTCCAGCTATTTTACTCCCCTTTTATTGTTTTTTCCAATTTTTTAAAATTCTTCCTATGTCTCAAAAATTATTATCTATTTCAAATTTCGCTTTTAATTTAATTTGTATTAAAAACTTTTATTCAACTTCTCTGTCATGTAGCAGGAGTATTTGTTAACTGACTAACGAGCAACCTTCTGTTATGTAATATCCCCTCCGGTTCTTAATAGATTGCATTTTGATTTGTCATAAATTTCACTTAATATGTATTTTTAGATGACAATTAAAAAATATGTACTAGGTAGAACTTAAGACAAATCCTTTACATTAAGAACCGAAAGGAGTATTTGTTAACGGACTAACGATTAACCTTCTTTAGAGATGGACAATTTAGAGACGGATTTTTTGCCGACTTGCGAACGGCTCGGTTCATTTACACTCATAAACCCGACACAATTGGACTTCGAAGAAACTATGCATGCATTTTGAGCAGTGGATCAATTTCAGGGCATTTCAGGCCATCGTTTCTGGCAAAGATCCATTAAGCCTATATTAAGTACTGCAAAGAGAACCGAAAACATTGCAGAATAACAACTTTTTTGGCATATCATAAGAAGTTACTTCATCTTTGTCTCGTTGAAGCAAAATCCTTGAATCCCCGAAAAAAAAAACCGAAGAAGAAGAAATAACTTGACAGGAATTTAAGACGTGGGATATGTTCCACACTTCATATTTAATTAATCAAGTATAAACAATCCCCTCATTTGTACTTTCTACTACCACCAGATCAATGTGGTGAAGTGTAAATGTACACTTTGCATCTTCACCATACTAAGTTTTGCAGCAGTATACAAGAATATCATCATCAATCGCACAAAGAATTTCACCAACCATTCTCAAAGAAATATACATATACATAAATGTAAGAGCAAGATATGCACCATCTGGATGTCAGAGGTATTTGATCCCACTCACACCGCTTCTTAGCCTGCAAAAACATTGGGCCGAAAAATGCATGAGCAGATGAGCAAATAGAACTTTACGCGGTCAGTTTGTCAATCACAAAAAGCTACAAAGGAGCGAAGACACCCATTTTGGAACTTCCACAGTGACAATAAACGCATTGAACAATGGGAAGAACATAAATGAAATAAGAAAGAATTTCAGAGCCAAAGTACTTTCGAAGAAAGATGTTTGTAGTGTTTTCGAAATAAGAAGAAAGATGTTTATAGACTTTCCTCCCATCATCTTTACTTGAAATGCTAATCACCGATGTTGAATTGTAGTTCGATCTATGGTCACAAGTTAAAAGAGAAAAGAGGGATAGAAAGAGTTGGAAGCTCTATCAAAATGGGCTATCCCAATCTAGTATCTATCCCGCTTTCACATGCTCGTTAAGTACAGTAGTATATAGATTTACCAAATGCAAGTGATAGGCCTAGAAAATACCTTCAAATATTTTTGTGAAGCTTCATTGCACCAAGACAGCCTTCTTAGCATCTAAGTTTCCAGTCATGTCATTCAATATCTGAGCAAGTAATCGGATACCAATGTTAAAAAAGAAAATACATGAAGCAAACATTTATTTGAAAACACCTCAGACATCTTATGAAAACGTTGGAAGGAAACAATACAGGCTGGGATCATACAAGTGAAATTTAGAAAGAATAATTGCCTCATCTTAACAACATCGTCAAGTCCTCTAGCCTCTGTCGATAATTTGGGACTTTTATCTTTCAAAACACTTGCTACAAGGAAAACAGAAATTGGTAGGGGTGCTTCATTACTCTTGCCTCCATTTCTCATATTATCTCTCATATTTCCATATTGGCGTATTGATTTAGGTTTTCCTTTTGATCCTTCAGATTTTTCAGCAGCAGCTTCAGGCTCTTCATACATAGAGAACAAGTCTGGATTGTACTCCAGGGCCCACATCATCTATTTAAGAAACCAGACATTGGAAGCATCAGAAATTGAAGGTTTCAAGTAACCAAAAAGCGGACTAAAAAATGAAGAACAACATGGATCACTGGATAAAACCTCTAAAATTGGTGTTAAGAAAAAAGAAAATGGATTTCTAAGGGTTTGAAAAATCCTCATAAGCCACTAATTGAATATCAGAATATGTTAGAACTCTACCCTCCATTTATATATTAGCACCTTCTTGTCACACAGAAACTACTCCTTTATAACTAAATTCATGTACTGTTTATCAGTAGATAGAAAATTTGGGAAAATAATTGACTTTAGAGAAGTTCATGAACGAATCCTGTTGATTTGAGTTGGATATGGACAGATCAGCCACAATTGGTTTATTCTTTTAAAAAATTGGAAAAAAAAAAAACACAAAGAAAGAAAGGAAAAAAAAAAACAGTTGAGTAGTGTGGATTATGTCAGGGCATTTGGTGCCATCGTTTCGGAACATAATACTATGATGGCCTCTTGATGAATTCTTTAAGGAGCAGCCAGATTCGGAACTTACATGTACATGGTAGTAAAATGACTCGAGAACGTGAAGGAATACAGCTTTGGTGGCATTTTGAAGGTACCGTTTTCTTCATATAGACTTGAAGCAGTAGCCAAATTCTGGGTTACCTTGGATGACAGCTTGCCACCGATCCTCATCATTTGTTGTCTGGTCGTCCATTTTTTCTTGGTTTCACTTGCCGGCGCATTGATGGTCAGCAAGACAATCGCCTGAATAAGCTGGGGGGAATGAACTTTGAGCTGGTGATGAAGGATCCATCTTCATCAATTTATACAGACGAAGTAGGTAGACTAGATTGAGGAGTGAAGGTGGGTTCGCGATACATAATCCTCAATGTTTCTTCAAGAGTGTAAAGCTTCCACAACATGTACATTCATATGATATAGCAGTACCATGAAAGTGAATAGTTGGATGAATTAGAAGCTGTTTTTAAACTTGTGGTCTTTTTTACAGTAACCGCACTACTTGCCATTTCATCATATGCAAATCAGTATCTATCTTGCCATTTCATCATGTGCAAATCAGTATCTATCTTTCCTGTTACCTTCGAATGAGAAATGTTCTTCCAAACTTGTTAAATTACTGCTCTGACTCAGTCTAATAAAGGCCAGAACCATCACTATTTTAGATTCAATTTTCAAAAATACAATTCACTAGCTGAACTACTAACTAGTGTTGAATGTTGATCAAGGACAAGTATTTCTACTGGTGCAAGAATGAAGATCAGGTTGAACTAAAGCATAAAATGATTGATTAATGAACGCAACTTGAAACTACAACCAATGTATTGGCATCAACTAGGAATCAGACTGAGACATAACAATTGACCTACGAGAAAAAGCACTTACCAGGGAACAGTAAATACTAAATACACCACAATTTCCTCTAAAATCTGCATCGGCCTTCAAGCAGGACCAGGCTTTCCAGAAAAGGTAAAGCATAGATTGAAAACTCTGTGCCAACAATCTCAAGATCCTTCACTGCTTTGCTATTGTTCGGATCAAACGAAACCAATGATCTTACTCTACATTGGTTGCCAGGCATCATAGCCACAATTTCATCCACACCATATTACCCTTGGTTGCCGTGTAATGACCACTCTGTCTCAATCCGATCACTTGTTGAATCCCTTCTTCCACTTAATCTTAAACAGAATTTCCCAAGACTCCACATTTCCATATTCCTTCATCACCCAAATGTTGCAGTATCCATTGCACCGATTATAACTGGATACATGAATAACATGATCATACTCTGATATAGCAAGACAATCCTCATGTATAAAAGGCAACAACCTTACAAAATGACGCCAAGTTAAATGTTGAGGCAAAAAAATCTCACTAAAAGTTTCATCCTTCAAATCAAACCCCAAAAATAAGATCCGTTCGCATTCCCCATGAAAAACCAGCCAATGAACAATCCCATTAACGAGCACCGGGGTTGAGGGACAAGAAATATAATGACGGGGAGGAACAATAGGCACTTTCCTCCAACATTTCGAGTTGAGCGAATACACTTCAGCAACCCCACCAATTTTATCTTCAAGTACATATCTGACCACTTTATGATCAAGTCCCTGCAAATCAAAACCAAAACCAAGGATAACATTTTCCGAGTAGGGATCAATTTTGGGTGAGGGCAATTCTATCCACTTTCCCATAGAAGGGTTCCAAACAAAAATTGGTTTTGCGCAAGTTCCATCCACATCATCCCACAAACAAAGCAACCCATTGCAGCTGCCTACAATACGATAACCCCAATCACGGGAACGGGATGCGCGTGGAAGCTCGAGTTCCGAACTTTGAAGGATGAAATCATCATTGTCTGGGTGCACCGAGTAACGCTCTTGTTTTTCACTTATAGAATAACATCGAATGAGAATGGATTTGGAGCTCCTCTCAGTTTGGATCCTGGCTAGATGAGTTTTGATAAACCTAGAACTTGTGATGAGGGCATACCAGGATTTAGAGACTTTGGTGAATTTGACGAGGGATTTGGCCGGAACCCTTTGAAGGATTTCGAACCAGAGATCTTCAGGAAAATTGCCCCACATCGTGGGTTCCATCGTGGTATCCGAGAGAGTAGCTTCAGCCATTAAAAAGGAGACCTCCAACTCTCAACTTCTGTGTGGAATTTTTCTGATTACCAAATTCTGAATTAGGTCGCAGTGTGTCGGCGGCGCGTTGCAAGGAGATGAAGCTCTCTCACGCTTGAATCCTTTCTTATAGCTGAAAAATTTTACTACTCCTTATTAAGGAATTGTATCGACCAGATAGATTTGTTATAAATGGGAGAGTTTTTCAAGCTATTTACTCCCCCTTTCCTTTTATTGGTTTCTTTTTATTTAATTTTTTCTTTATTCTTCTCGTATTAGTAAAAATTAATGTCTAATTTAAAGTTTTCTCGCTTCTAATTCAATTGATATTAAAAATTAAAATTCAAACTGATATTAAAATTTGTACTCAAATTCGTGTCACGCGCGCGAATTCCAGGTTGGCGGCCTTTATTCGAATTCAAAAGAGGCGGTTGGAGGAGGCGACGTCGTTTAGATAGCTGCTGCTCAAACTGCATTAACGACAATCATGCATGCA